GCAACCATTACACCATGTTCCACATGACATCTTAAGTAATTAATAATAATATGTTATAACCTAAAGCGAAAATATTATGCACCCATATAATCATGGAAACATTTACACCGTGAAATTGGAACGTCGCTTGCCATAGTAACTGACTTTGTGCGGAATATTTAACCTTATCAAGTATTTTGGGCGTGACATCCCCTGACAAACCACGTCAAGCGCGAACATTATGATAATGTACAGAATTACATTTTCATTCACGAAGCAGACGTACTGACCCTGAACTTGTTCTATTTACGTGGTTTTATCCGAAATATATTTGCTTAAAATGTATATAACCCTCACGATTTGAACATGTTTACCTAGACCAAACTATATTAGTTATTTTTAGTTATCTCAAAAAGTGCTTGTAAAGACGACAACGGATCTGCGAGTGCAGCAGTTATATATAATAGCAGCTTTTTGTATGGATAAAAAAAAACAAAACCTTTCTTTACTTAAGTGACGATTTTAATTACTTCCCGTTGCGACCGGAATAAACAAAATGACCTACATTTTTAAAGTGCAGTGTACAACGCTGTATTTTAGAAAAGTTCTGAATGACAAAGCTTTCATTTGTGTTGCTTACTTGCCAACTCAAGAAGTTCCTAACTAAAAGTTGTTTATACTTTAATGAAGTTTCAAGTAACTTGACAGTTGACACTCAATTTGTACGAGACCTAAAACGTCACTTATAGACTGCAGTGCCTGTGTGCGAAACCTATGCGCCTTTCTTTTTACGAATCTTCATGTTTGAACGTATTTTTTTTATTATCTGTTAATTTTGACCCAAACTGACGTTAATTGTTCTCCAGTTTTATATACTTACATTATATTTTCATAAATAGGTAATACCAGTTCGCTTTTAACCACAAACGTAAATATTATTGTACAGTGTACAATAAGCGAAGTATATGATTTGTTATTTAAATTTGCGCGTGCGACTCTCATACCTGAGGTGGTGGGTTCGATTCCCGTGCACCAATGGACTTTCTTTCTATGTGGGCATTTAACATTCGCTCGAACGGTGAAGGAAAACATGGTTAGGAAACCGGCTTGCCTTAGACCCAAAAAGTCGACGGCGTGTGTCAGGCTGATCACCTACTTGTTTATGAAATAAAAATGATTAAAGAAACTAATACAACCCATATAGAAGGATGTAGTGATGCTAAAAAGCAATAAAAAGCGATTTCTGGGCAATATTTATTTAGACAGAAAAATAAATTAATTTCACGTATTCTATTCAACCTTTTCGCTTAAGTTATAACGTAAGACATAATAATTTAGATATATTGCCTATAAAGCTAAAAGCCTCTTGGACTTTACTGCCCAGTAATAAAGATCGTTTTCATTTAGCGCTGTCATAAGTGAGGCTCCATAAATCCCGGCAAATTGCGGAGGTAGGTTTAAAACGCTATTCAAGGGAATATCCAACGCAACGCACTTTAATATGCTATCAAATGAATAAGTGCTTACAAATCATATAATTTTTATTAGTATGAGTAATTATAATACAGTATATAACAGTTTTACATTTATGAGAGCTAATTAAGCGTGCATCGCTGAAGTAGGTTCGATCCCCTGTGCGCCAACCTTTCTATGTGCGTTTAAGACTCGCTCGGACGGTGATGGAAAACGTGAGGAAACCGGAATGACATACCCCACCTTAGCCTACCTGAAATTAATATGCCCCCCCTATATAACGTACATAATTTATATATTTAAAAATTTAATTGTTTACTTAAGAAATGTAAATGATAGGTTTTACGAAGAAATTCAAATTTCAAATAATGCTAATAAAGATTTTTCTATATTAATTTAGTGAGATCCTTGCGCTTGATGCTTTCTGCACAGAGATTTTATTCCAATTTGGTTAGCTTCAGTCAAGTCTCCACGTTGTGTTATATCCAGCTGATTTCAATTGCCCCTCTTAACAATCAAATTGCCTCCCTGTGGGGCGTGGGCCCCTCGTTAGGAAACACTGCCGAAACGATCACTACTGGCCCGAAAAGATCTCTAACGAGCAACTTTGGGAGCGCTGCCGAGAATCCCCGATGAGCCAGCAGGTCAAGCGCTGCAAATGGAAATGGATAGGCTACACACTCCGAAAGGATCCCAATCATATTCCCAAGCAGGTGTTTGATTGTAAACCGCAAGGAAAGCGGAAGAGTGGCCGTCCCAGGCAAACCTGGCGCCATACAGCTGCAGATGGGGCAAAGAGAGCCGAAAAGACTTGGAGCGAGGTGAAATACGAGCCTCAAGACCGAGTGCGATGGAGACTCACTGTAGATGCCCTCTGCCCCATCTAGGGGTTATAGGACATTGTCCAGAGTGTTTGTGTATATGGTGAAGCATTTGCGTTTTCATTTAAAGGCAAAGTACTTATTATCATACTAATTTCTATTTGTCCATATACTTATAATTTTCTTATTGATATTGACTGAAAATTGTGTGCCTTTTTTCGTAATTCAATTCAACTATTTATTGTTAATTCTATAAACGGCCACCGATCCGTTCTTTTTACATATTTATTTAAGATATACTCGAGTACAACTGAATAGGCTTAAAATGGAATTTCTCCCGTATTCGACCGAATTGTGGTGTATTTATGAAGAAAATAGCTTTACAAGTTAGTAGGAATTCATCGGGAATTCACTGGAATGTAATTGAAATATTCTTTCTACTTGAAATGTTATTCTGTTGTTTTTATTTTGTCTGTCGTGTCTCTCTCTCTCTATTCCAAATGGCACGTACCTAAAGTACAACCTTGTCTGTATATGTTTCGTGATATTTTTTTGTAAATACACCGTTCCGTACCGTTGACTTCTTGTTTCTCTTGACTCACGATGTTTACCTTCAAAATTCGAGCGTATGTTAAATGCGCACAAAGAAAGAAATTCCATTGGTGAACAGTCGGGTATCGGTATGACCTCCGGGATGAGAGTCTACTAGACAAATATTCTCTATTCTTCTTGAATAAGGGCATTAAAATTTATCGAATCAACTATATGTTCAGCCAAACTATACTAAAACAAAGAAAAGAAATTACAATGTTACGATCGTAAAAGTTCGTCGTTAACGGAAACTTTCGCAACCGCAACTACTTCCAAGAAAATCCATTATCTAATATAAGAAAAGTGAAGCATTTATGGCGAAAACACGTTTCTGTAGGATACCCCATTAATTTGCGTTTCTTAAGGCAATTTTTGCCGCGCACTACCACTATGTGGAACCAGCTGCCCACTGAAGTATTTCCGAACCAATTCGACTCAGGGTCCTTCAAGAAAAGAGCGTACCAATTCTGCCCGTTTGCCTCCTGTTACATATTATGTTATAAATAAAAAGCAGCTACCTAAAATATTGTTAGGTCAGTAACTTTAAAAGCAAACCTAACATAATTTTTTAACTTTAAGCGTAGAACAAAACCTGACCTTGTGCGTGCTTACTTATAAGTTATAATCTATGTCCTTTAAAAAAAACTACTCGAAAATTCATTATAATTAAATAACTATATTTCCTATTTGTATTGATTCATTACCAAGAGGCACAATATCAGTAATTAGTAAATATTAAAATTATATAATAAATAAATAAAACTTAAGTGCAAATGGGCGGGGCACATGCCAAGAGGAACAGAAAAGTGCCCAAGATCTAATAAACGCAAAAGAGAAAGACAATTTAGAAGGTGAAACAGCAGGTACATAGGAGACAGGAAAGGTGGGATTTGGAGGAAGCCTTTGCCAAAAAAGGGCACACAGATATCTAAAGAATAAGATGATAGAAATAAAAATGTGTTTAAGTATAAATATCTGAAATAAAAGGCTTTATTATAATTACCAAGAAAAAGGATAATTCATTAATTCATACTCATATATTCTCTTCATATGAAGAGTCTGTCTAATTTTTGAAGATCGATCCCAAAAATCCATGAGTGTACGAGTATAACAAGTGGACCTGTTTTCTGCAAATCCGAATCATTATTAACACCTCAACCATACAGATAAGAGGAACTTGAAAATGCACATATAACCTTCTCACTTTTAATTTTTTTTTTGTTATGACTCAGTATGACTTTGCTGTAGAAAGGAAGCCTGGTTATCCATATCACAGGTTCTTACCTAGCTTGGAAACCAGTCTCCAATACCTTCGTTATTGTAATTGTATTGTTTGTTTCAAATTTTATATGGGAGAAAATAAAGAATTATTATTATCTTTCCTTTGCAGTAGGATAAGACACACAAAACGGGTCACTAGATAACAATTATTACGTGGTAAATGTTTTAGGGTCTGTTTCACAATGTATGGATAAAGTACCAAATAGCTATGCAACACATAAATTATTTGGAAGATAAATTGTGCTATTTGACACTTCATCGGACTCAAACTTATGATGGACTTTATGTGACGAATAGCGCTATCTGACAGTCGTGAAACGTAACAATAGTGTTTATCCTACCAATAAGTCATAAATAGCCAATTTGGAACTTATGTAGAACTTAACCGTACATTGTGAAACAGACCCTTAGATAAAGTACCAAATAGCTATGCACCACATAAATTATTTGGAAGATAAATTGTGCTATTTGACACTTCATCGGACTCAAACTTATGATGGACTTTATGTGACGAATAGCGCTATCTGACAGTCGTGAAACGTAACAATAGTGTTTATCCTACCAATAAGTCATAAATAGCCAATTTGGAACTTATGTAAAACTTAACCGTACATTGTGAAACAGTTACAACTAAGTCATATGAGACATTAAGTATGCATGAATGTGTGAGTGTGAATGGGAGTGTAAGCGCATGCGCATTTGAGAGTTGTTATAAGCGTGCGCTGTGTCTGTGTTAGTTTTTGGAACCTCAGAGACATGCCAAGATGCGTAGTAATGCCTCTGTAGATTCGAAATCCAATTGAATGCACAGCATCTATTATTATTCAACTGCATTGACTATAGTAAATTTTCACGATGATTCTTTTGTTTCAGGTCCTAGGCTCTGATACAGAATGGCACTTTTCGCATCGTGGGCTGCCACACGCCCGAACTCGACGATCCATCGCCCATGCCCGATTATTAAAACGTCACCCTCTTGTAAGTATCATCAAAGGCAATTGTAGTAATTGTCTTTGTAATCATATTAATTTATGAAAAGTCAAATCATTAATTTCAACTAGGCCTATTAAAAAGGCACTTTTGAAATATTAAAAAAAATTACTAGTTGCCCCTTCTTTGTAATTTCATATGAAAGAACTCTTTTAAAATAGTTTTTTTACAATATTTTGTATGCATTGATGATTGATAATAATTATATGTGGAAATCGTGTATCTAGTAAAAAAAACTACTTTACTAAAATATTGTTATTAAAAACAATGCAGCTCACATATGATATTGTTTCATATTGGTAATCTTTATAACTAATAAGATGCTGGTAAACTGTATGGTCCAAATTATAATTTATAAAAGGATATTTGCTTTTATTTTTTATTCAGAAAAAGTTATCCTTATTCAATATGTGTCGCTCTCACGTAGTTCAACTCGGATTCGATTTTGAAATCGCCCAACAGTCTCTGAAAAGGTTTCGGTGGTGATTTCGTATAAGTGTTTGAATAGTGGTAGCATAGAGGTAGGTTTAGAGAAGGTTTCAAATTACAAGAAAATAACTGGTAGTTTATTTACCAAGTAAAACAATTATTAAGTGTTTTATATCGTTTGATTACAAGTTTGATTTGTATTGCAACTCCTGTGGGCATTATCTGTGCATTGTTATGTACGTAATTAAATAATTTACTTATGATAAATTAAGCTTAACGTTCGTTTATGTTATTGTCTTGTCATATTATATTGATTATATATGTCACTTACAACCATTCTCGAATCCACTTCCAGTTACAGAAAACTTATCATCCTAATCTCTTCAGTAATTTAGGAGAAGTTTAATAACAAATACACGCTCAGAAGATTTATATATATATATATCCATTTTGCGATAGTCTTCATGTCTTTAAGCGTAATATGTAGCAGCAATTATTCCAGCAACGCCTTATATGTTTTGATGTTATGACGGCTCATTGGTCTAGTGGTTAGTACCCCTGACTGCGAATCCATGGGTCCCGGGTTCGATCCCCGGCTGAGACAAACATCGATGTGATGAGCATTTGGTGTTGTGCTTAGGTCTTGGGTGTTTAAATATGTATTTATATGTCTATCTATCTATAATATGTATGTATATCCGTTGCCTAGTACCCATAACAGAAGCTTCACCAGCTTAACATGGGACTAGGACAATTGGTGTGGAAAAAAAAATTATAATAAGATGTTTATTTTTTATTTTGTGGTCTTTTTTATTTTTCTAATTTTTTAATATGTACATTGTACATGCATGTTCTATATCGTACATTAATTAGTAACATTTAACAGAAAAAAAACATTATTTTTGCTTTTTAACAAACATTTATTTTATTTATTTTATAAAAACACAATCCTGTCCTAACAGGTGACCCTAAATCGACAAGAATGCACAAATAACGAAAAGAAATAACACACGAAACAAAAATATTATACACCGATTCATATGTGCCCTTTTTAGAAGGTTAATCCTACGTGTGGGCACATAAGGGAACGGCGGACGATGGCGCATTGTGACGTACCTATTAGGCACATTGAAACTAACTTATATTAAGTACAAGCCCGTACTCTAAGCTCGTTGTAGACAGACCCCAGAATAAATAAGTGAATGAGTGAGTGGGTAAAAAGGGTATTAAAGATACATGTGCCTCAAAAATTTGTTTTGTACCCGCTCCAACATCACTTAACTTTAAAGAGCCCAAATCGCAGAATAATGCTAATTATTTCTCATCAGCGCATTATATTATATAACCCTCTCATAATATAATATTATATATTATAGCAGCTAATTATTTTCTAGTCCATTTAGTAACTAAGGTAAGGTTTACTTAAACCTAAAAATAAGCTTTAGACTGAGCGACTTAATAAGACAGGCGCTGGACGGGAGCTCAGATGATAAATAGATTACGTTTCAAAATAATTACTTGAAAAGAAAAAACTGTTTAACCGGATTGAAGTTATGTATTATTATAAATTTACAACTATTTAACATAATTTTAAATTTATCCGACGTTTCGCGTGCTTTACAGCGTGCGTGGTCACGGTGACTGAAGACAAAAGATGTTGGATGTCAAAAAGTATCACAGCTGTAGAGAAAGTTGCCTTATCTGTATTTATTACCCCGGAGTTGGTATCGACTAAAAGATGGAGGGTTTTGGCAAAAATGGCTCACATCTTTTGTCTTCAGTCACCGTGACCACGCACGCTGTAAAGCACGCGAACCGTCGGATAAATTTAAAATTATGTTAAATAGTTGTAAATTTATTATTATAAATTTAAAATTATGTTAAATAGTTTTATTTTAAAATACATAACTTCAATCCGGTTAAACAGTTTTTTCTTTAAATGTGTAAAGGTTATGTAAATCAAAGACAATACTAATTACTTGTATTTTTAGCATTTATGAATAATAAAAAAAGGGATTAGTAAACACTGAAATAGAAGGGTAAGAAAAAATAGGGATTATTAAATAAAAAACTTATTTTTAATTAAAACGAGTGGCGGAGAGTTTATTGCCCGTTGTTCTCTTCCGTTCTACGCCCTTGACTTGAGAACTGGCAGTAAATGTAAAACTAGAAGCATTTCATAAATTTGTGACTACTCAAGGGCCAGAAATATTATTAACAGTTTTCGAAAATCTAGTCCAGAACCTCAAGGCGCAGAGCGTGTAACACTTAGTGCACACTTTTTGTTTGTAGTGTAAAATATGTACATACAAATAGGTATTTACAGTTTTTTAATAGGTCTTTACCAAGCTAGGAAAATTAAATAATTCCTACGACAAAGGTCTGCATAGCATAAAGCAGCCTTTTGCCCAAAAGGCTTTAATAGCATTCCTTGATATATCAAAGAGTCTCGATGTACAACCTAGTTGCTTTGTTCTGGGATGTTGTTCGTTATAATTATTTATGAACACGTAATACATATCTAATATATAAAATTCTCACAATGTTCGTTCCCATACTCCTCCGAGACGGCTCGACCGATTCTTATGAAATTTTTTATGCGTATTCAGTATGTCTGAGAATCGGCGACTATCTATATTTCAAACCCCTAAGTGATAAGGGGTGTCGACCCCAAGATTTTTTTTTAACTTTTTTATTATGTGGCATTAATTAATAAATACATATAACTCTTAATTTTTACCCTTCTACGATAAACACCTATTTTTTATTTATAAATTAAAATCGGGGGCAGCTAGTCTATATATATAATTCTACTGTACGTGTGTGTATCACTAAACTCCTCTTAAACGGCTGGACCGATTGGAATGAGTTATTTGTATGCGTTTGGATGGAGCCCTGGATGGTTTAGTTTACAAATCAGCCCGGCAGATGGAGCTGCAGTCGGTATCTAGGTTATTTAACTGTACAACAAATAAACAGCTAGTATATATACATCTTCTGTGCATGTGTTCGTAATTAAACTCCTAAGCGGCTGGACAGATTTTGATGAAATTTTGTGTGTGCAAGTGGAGTCGAGAATGATTTACATTATTAGCTTTGTGTTAATTTTTAACAGTAAGGACTTTGTGATTTATTTGTATACAGATGATTTGGTGTGGCTTTTAGTTATAATGATTTTCCCTGCGATGGCGTGATACACAATTATCACACACATGCACGCAATACGGGTTCTATAAATAATATATTAAAATTTAGTATAAGTATTAAGTATATATAAGTATATAGTATAGTATAAAGTGTAGAGGTAAGTAGACTTACTATTTTTTTAGGTAATAGGAGGCAATCGGGCAGGAGGCTCAGCTGATAAGTTACTCACGCAATACGAGTTAAATAAACAATATAATAAAATTGTATACGCTTGTATATCGGTATATAGACTTATTATTATTATTTATTAATGTAACAGGAGGCAAACGGGAGGAAGTCTGACAGTAAATGTAAAATTAGAAGCATATAATGTATATTTCTTTTTTGACGTTCATAAGTGTACATTGTGTTAAGCTTAGGTTTCCAAGAAAAGCGGTGCCGTTATCTAACGGCCGTAATGTAGCGTTGGGTGACGTCACTCATACGTTGAGTGGTAGGTGGTACGTAGAGTAATACAATGAGTGGAAACGTGACTTGGCCGAGCGAAAATGTTTGTTTTTTTTCATTATGTTAAAAAGTAAAGACGGCCGTTAGTTAACGGCACCGCTTTTCTAGGAAGCCTAAGTTTTACCTATATGAAAAAATGTTTTTTGACTCTGAGGCTCATTATTTTAAACTCATCAACAGGTCCACGCTGCAGTACAGCAAACGGGATTTAAGCGAGTCAAACGCGGCTACCGGCCACTACGCTTACCGGAAATAGAACCTGCCGCAGACCCTCGCGATCCCTATTTTCCTCTTCAATGGTACTTGAAGAACACAGGACAGAATGGTGGCAAGCCCAAGCTCGACCTCAACGTTGAGGCTGCGTGGGAGCAGGGATACACCGGCATTGATGTCACCACTGCTATTATGGATGACGGTAATTTTATTATGAATCATCAAGAAGAAAATGTATATCTGTGTACCATGTAACGTCACTCGATGTTACGTCATAACCTTCGGTTAAAGGTCGATTAACTCGGCATAGCTTGATTTGAAATCCACATTAATCTAATATATTGTGTATGTATATAATATCTAATACATAAAATTCTCGTGTCACAGTGCTCGTTCCATACTCCTCCGAAACGGCTCGACCGATTCTTATGCATATTAAGTAAGTCTGAGAATCGGCTATCTATCTTTCAAACCCCTAAATGTTAAGGGTGGTCCCCTAAATTTTTATTTTTAGATACAATTTTTTGATTTTATTTTTTTTATGATACAGTACACAAAAATACATAAAACCCTTAATGTTCATCCCTCTACGATCAACCCCTATTTTTTATTATAGTAGATAGTTATTTTTATTGAACTAAAAAGTGTTTCCTAGAAATAATAGACATGGCAAAACAACGTTTGCCGGGTCAGCTAGTGTATGTATATATTTCAATGCTATTTAGTGTTTACGGGAACAGTCACGTGGTCTTAAGCTTGTCGAGTTAGTTTCATTATGTGGCGTTTATACCACTCACGTGGGGTTCAGTAATTACCGATGAAACAATAACTCTCATAGTACACTGATGCATTTAGTACATGATGATTTAATACGCCTTTAAATTGGCTGTCGAGTCTTTCTTACGATTTGATTTTTTTTGATAAATTCTATTTATCCATATACAGTACATCAGTAGACCCAAAAAGTCGACGGCGTGTGTCAGGCACTGGAGGCTGATGACCTACTTGCCTCTTAGATTTAAAAATGATCATGAAACAGATTCAGGAATCTGAGACCTAAATTAGGTTGTAGCGCCACTGATTTATTTTTTATTTTGTATATACAGTATAATATTTAAATATAATATTTGTCTACAGGTGTTGACTACATGCACCCGGATCTAAAATATAACTATGTAAGTATACAAAACCCTTAACCCGCAATATTTAAGTACTCCAAAGTATTTTAAATGAGAAAAAGGGACCTCATTATAATTCTGTTTCCGAAATTTTCCTTTGGGATTTTAAACGAGCGAGTTTAATTATAATTAGAAAAGCTTTTAGGACTCAAGAAGGCCTTCAACTATAATTCAAGTAAAGGTTTATCTTACATTATAGAGCTTTTATTTTAATTTTACAAGAGATTTTGTATTAGAAGTGTCTGAGCTTTTAAACATTTAAAAGATAATTCAGGGATCAGGAAAATGATGGGGACCCCAAATAATTTTTATGTACAACTAGCTGTACCCAACCACGCTTCGCTGTGGCATTGTGATTGAATGGTTGAGAAGTGAGAAACAAAACAAATAATACATTTCATATAAGTGTAATTTTGCAATATTTGTGGAAAAAAATTAAAAAAACAAAAAAAAATCCTTGATGCGTATTATATATCATGGTAAAATTTCAGCTCGATCGGTGCAGAATTTTTTGAGTTTTTGAAGCGTACACAAACCAACATAACATTTATATATCGACGTAGGAAAGCATATTTGCTGTAAGTAGACAAAATACCTAAAGTGACTTTTTCCTGCCATTAGAATCAGAAAAAAAAGCCGCATCGAATGACCTGGGTCCTGTGTCTCTACGATGAAAAAAAAATTACATACGCCGTTGAAAACGCCCGTACTTATATTATTTTTAGCAAGATTAAATGCTGTATGTAGACCAAAATCTAGTCATTTCAGACATTTTGCACTTACAGCAAAAGAAAATCTGCATTTTTTTCTTTACAAATACTTACTTCTTCCCATTTAAAAACTTAACGCTACTTACAGCATTTCAGCGGCGTGTGATTTTTACATTCGTTTACTTACAGCAAGTTTAGGGAACCTACAGTTTTGGGTTTTTTTTTACCATTTACGACATTTTATTTCAACCAAACATTACATTACCAAATGACCCACTGCATTTCTAGATCTAATCATAATTATAAACTAATCTTACATCTTGAATTGCAATTAAAAGTACCCAAATACATAAATTTCCTGCATACAGCATATTTAAGAAAAGAAAAGAAAAGAAAAGAAAAATCTTTATTTTTCTCCACAATCTTACATTGATATTAACTAAATATTAAGAAACAGATATATTGTCGCAAGGAAACATTATAAGATTGTGAGAGACTGGTGACTGAACTAAGCAGGGCTTGTATCTCAGACCACCAGCCTCTCCCCACATGGTGTAAAAAGTAGCCAGTAACAAGAGTAAATTATTAATAAGGACATTTTACAGATGTAACATGGAGAAAAGAGGTACCTAATTAAAATATGTAGGTGTGCAATCGCGCCGATATAACATCCGTGCTAATTATTATATATATTATTATATATATATATATATTAGTACTTAGATAAATATAAAACCACTAACTAACCTACTAACCACTATTTACCGCCTGTAAATTGATAATATTTCCGCGCGTACATTTTTCTTCCTTAGTTACAGCGTTTTAAAGGTTTGTGATTTAAAAATCTGTTTGCTGTAACTAGCCAAACACGTACTTATAGTAACTTTGGATAAAAAGTTTACATTGCAAATGGTGACTGGCAGTTAAATAAATATATGTTTCAAAAATGGTAGCAATATCATGGATAGGTCAGACACTATTAATTTTTTCCGAAATTAATAAAGTTTTTTGGCTCTGGTGAACAATTGCAATATGTCTACTTACAGCAAATGTGCTTTCCTACGTCGATATATAGATGTTTAGGTGTAATTAATTAGGTTAATTTGTCATTAAATCAGAAATAGGAGTACCTTTAATCAAGGTCCCATTAATCTTGAAGCACGTAAGTACTCATTTATTACGTCTGACACGCAAGTTCCACAACCTTATTTATGTGTAAAAAAGCTTTTAGATTAAATACTCCAGCGACAACAGAACAAGATCCTAAGAGTAGTTGTAAAAGTACCATGGTACATAACCAACAACGAAGTTCACGAACACCTTAAAATGAGAACTATCAAAGAGGAAATCCGGAGACTGGCAGCTAAATACAAAGAGCGGTTAAGCTGTCACCCGCATGAACTTGCTCGCCAACTCACCATTAGACAGTATGTGAGTCGACTAAAACGTCACCATATTCTAGAGCTAGAAGACCGGCAGTAGCTCTAGACAGAGGATGAGTAGATGCTTCCAATGGGAAGTCACTCCACATGACAGCACCACAGAAAAAAATTCGCTCATAGCCTTGATAGCAAATAACCGCAGAAAAAAAAAATTAAATACAGGTTTATTTAAAGACTAATTTATATTTTTTAGAACGCGGAAGCTTCGTATGACTTCAGTAGCAACGACCCGTTCCCTTACCCAAGATACACTGATGATTGGTTTAACAGGTATATTACAACATTAAACAAAATACGAAATTAATTAAAACAAGTTGACGATTTGAATGTTTTTGTTTGTGCGCAAAGTTGCCAAATTAACCACTTGACGTTTTTACAATAAACGCAGTTTGCAATATTGTTTTATATATTAAAGGGTTAATACGGGGCTTTTTATACAAAATAGAGAAGTATTGTTGGCGATTCTCAGCCAGTCGTACGTTCGAACCGCGTGCACCAATGGACTTATGTGTGCGTGATACACGTACGGTGTAGGAAAACATCGTGAGGAAACCATGCACAGGCACAGAAGACATACTTAATAATGATCACGATAACAGGAATCTGAGGCCTTGATTAGATTTGGCCTTTGAATTATCGCGCCACTGGTTTTTTATGCATTTTTGCATCGTCTTAACTAAAGTATATTTTTAACACAGAAAAGCACAATTCAACAGAAAGAGAATATATATATATATATATATTATATATATATAATAATATATATATATATATATAGTATAGTATATTATATTATATATATATAGCGAATGAATTTATAGTTTTAAAAGAGGACCAGACAAAAGTTTTAAACAAAACTTCGATGATGTAAGTTAATATATTGTATAATAAAAAACATATACATACATATATCTCGTATATTCAATACAATGACGACTCAAACTTGTCGTGGCTGACTCCCGTTCGACAAAAATGGATTGTATTTTGACATCTGTCAGACATCTGAACAATTTCCTTTGAGAGACACATCGTAAAAAGTGGTTTCCACAGCGTGTGTGCAAGTGTTTGTTGCTAAAGAAAATCAAACTATTCATAGGGGTCTTGAGAATTTAAACGTGCTCGCAAATAAGGCGTCTTCACGTGTCTAATTTCAAGTTGTTTACCTTTTAGTGTTAAACTCTATTAAAACTTTGCGTATCCAATCCTCGGAATTTACCTTGGTATTGGAGATTAGTTCTTGTGTTTCTTAGTAAATTTTCTGAAGTACTAAAATTTAATTTTGATTGTGTTGTACAGTTGAATTTTGACATCTCCCTAATCAACATTTTATTATTGATACTTGCTTGTAACAAAATATTTAGTTTTACTGAAAATTTTAATCGGAAGTATTTAAATAACCAGTGGCTTTTAGGTCTGGGCTTCAGATTTCTGTATCTGTTTTGGAATCATAATTTTTCTTGAACGCGTTCTATGATTCTGTGTATAGGGAAAGATAACAATCTATTATTTAAAAATTACTTGAGCGTGTGACCTTTTTAATTCGATAAAATACAATAAATAATTATCAACATCATCTATTTTTTAAGCCTTAGTGTAAATGCTAACTTATATTCGTTTATAGCCATGGAACCAGGTGCGCAGGGGAGGTAGCCGCAGCTCGTGACAACGGGGTTTGCGGCGTGGGCGTGGCATACCATTCTAAAGTTGCCGGTGAGTTTGATTTTATCTTTGGAACTTCCGTTTCCGGTTAACCTTATAACGGAGTATTATTTGAAATTTAAATTAAGAGTTGATCTTAAGATTGGAATTATTTAAGAATAACAATAATTATGGTAGGGGAGCCCAAGAGGGGATTTCGGGATTTACTAAAGCGCGGCAGATTACTATATAGGGGGATACCTTGTACCCGGTTAAGTACCTCCACAAAATATGAGGCCCATATATAAGGCCGCGCGTGAAGGAGACAGGATCAGATTAGTAAAAAAAAATTGACCATCAGAAATTCCCGAGCGCGTCAGATTAAGGTAGGGTGAGTTAATTACATCCTAAAAAGTGTATATTCCACTAATCTGACAATTTGAGAGTGACGGAAAAAAAGGGAGGGCAACAAAGTTGTAAAAAAAAACGTCATCTCGACATTCTCGAGCGTAGCTAATTTTTCTTTTATTTTGAAGGAAATAATTCCAGAATAATGAAAAATATATAATCTGACGATTTACGCAAGCCGAAATAACAAAAATTCGTCGATAAAGTTAAATGCGTGCAGCTGCGTGATGCCTACATTTCCTTAAACCGATCGGAATCTACTAAACGGCGTTCTAAATATTTCCCTCAAAATTACATTTCCTGTGAATTTGAACCGATTCGGACCGATAGATTTTGAGAAATTTTGAAAAATCTTAAAAAAATAAGAAATATTTTTTTTTAAGTGGTTTCTTTATCGATCAACTTCAAAAACTAATCCGCCTTTGAGCTTGAAAAACCACGTCGATCGCCACCAAGCTGGTCAAAAGCGGTTGATTCGTTCGAGAGATATCGTACATGAAAGAAACCCGAAAAAGTGTTTTTCGGGATTACTCCGAAATTTGTGGTTCGATCAATTAAAATTGCAAAATTACTTATGAGAATGATAAAACTGCGTCGAATGCCGCCAACCGCGTGAAAATTGCTTGATCCATTCAAAAGTTATTGCGGTTTGAAAATTCCAAAAATAGTGTTCTATGAAACTTCTATCAGACTTTCGAGCTGGGAGAGCTCAAATGCATAGAAATGTTATTTCTTTGAACTCAGCGAGCTCAAAATATCAATTTTAAGCGCCCAGGAATGGAATTAGCGGGAAGTTGCAGGGATGGCCCTTTAGGTGAACCGTTTTTCTATTTTTTTTTGTCAGATCAGGCGAATCCCTCTAGATAATCGTCAGATTATGAGACAGTACGTTTAGAACATAAAGATGAACCACATATATCTTAATCTGACGCGCTTGAGTATTTCAAAATTGCGATTTTTTTTGCAAATTAAGAAAATGGCTGTGGGTTTGCGTCCCATCGAAATCGTCAGATTAGTGAATGAGAGATTTTTTTTGGTGCACTTAACACTCCCTTAGAAAATCTGACGCGCTCGATAAATTTTTTTTTTTTTAATTTTCAACCCTTAAATACAACCACCCGCATCATGCAAACGATCAGATTAACATACGTACATTATTAAAAATACGTAGGGCATAGATGCTATCAATATCTGACGCGCTCGAGGATGTCCATGCAACAGTTTTTTTTTACATATTTAACTATCTATAGCCGCTTCCCCCACCGATGAAAAGGAATTTATCATATAACATTTTTTTCTTCTTTTTATCTAAGCTTTGTATCCCAATAGGTCTCTACGACGCTCGAGTAAATCCCCATTTAGCATCGTGGGCTCCCCTACCATTAATTTCGAATAACATTGACTTGAATTTTGTTGAAAGGATGTTTCGATTCCAATGCGAATTTCAATATTTTCTTTTATTAGTGAACAACGAATAATCTAAAGTAAATAAAAATATAACTAGGATGAATTAAATTCATCATTTTAGTTCAGTGTTAATTCCTATTTGAACCTAGAGTCTTAAATGTAGTTTAAGTTAATAAATAGAGATCACAAATTTGAAATATTTAAATAAATTTTTGAAGTGAAACTTCTGTAGGCGCATGAGGGTAAAATTTTTACGGATGAAACGAATAATAATATTAGCGTCAAGAAAATGTGCAGGGTTTTTGTCGAAGAAAAGCTAGAGAGCGATTGAGACCGATTGAGAGAGAGTTAGAAAGGGCGAAATACATATTAGCATGTATACAGTGTGTAAACAGTGTGAATATATATATACAAATACATGGAGTGATCATATACTGGTACATGATCATCTATTGGGGCTCTAACCTTAGTAATAATTAATTTACAAAGAAGTTTCACTCTGACATGTGTACTATGTACGCACGAATTTTTTTTCTATTAATTCAATACTTACGTGGAAAGTACATTACATTCAAAAGTCTAGTGAAAGTAACAAAAAAGAGCGTATTCCATAATAAAAATACAAGAACATATTTTCCACGACGGCTTCGCGAAACATCTCACTCCGTACATTTTTGTGGATATTGAACCATTCAGAGCGTGTATCAAATAACGGATTTTCCATTTCAGCTCGGCATTGCAAATATTATTAAATATTAGTGTACAAAGAGAAACCACACCCTTTAATGGAAACCAATTTCATGTTTAATATGAATAAAACGCAGCGTCGATAACAATTTTAAAATTGACATATATTTCCATAAAACTTGTTTGATTAAATTATGAATTCATTGTAGACAATCATTGGAATAAAGTAATACAATTTTTCATGTCGTACAATAAACTAAATTATTTTATTTTGGGAAAAGGGATACTCTTCTTTAATAAAATCCCAGAGGCTCTTTTATCTCTGCCTTTCAATAAATTTAAGAAATGTATTAAAGAAAAGCTGTGTAAAAAGGCTTACTATAAAGTCAACGATTATCTAGTTGATAAATGGGCCTGGGACTAGTGCTAGACAGGCTACTTCTAATTAATTTGCGATATTTGTTTTAAATAAGTGTTGTTTGATGATTTGATATTTTAAAAGAGTACCGAGAGTTTTTTACGCCGGCTTTTTCTCTCGGCAGTCGGCCTACACCCTCTGTCTTCTCGATTAAAAAAATATGAATGTTCTATTCATTACATAAAAGTTGGAAAAAAAAACTTCTTGCGCTTACCTTATATAATTGGTTTTTCTCACAGTGGTTGCCTGGCAAAGATCGCTCGAAAGCGATAAGGCCGCGTTCATTTTTATTTAATTATGTCTATTGTATTATATTTCTGTAATATATTAGTATTATATTTTTGCAACGAAGTGTTAATAAATAAATAAATAAAAGGAAGAAAAGTGAGTTAATTATCAGATTCCAGATAGATGTAGGTTTAACTAGTTCGTTCAAAAATATAATTTGTCACAAAGTCTTTCCTTATTCGACAAAAACGAAGTCGCTAATTGAAACAAGTAAATATACTCTACACTAATATTATATTATTACGAAGTAATTAATCCGAATAACTATGTTACGCTCCTCTAATAGATGCTTCTATGAAATTCCATCTCACAGCTCATCCTTCTTAGGCACTTCGTTTAGGATCTCACCGCCATTAAGTTGTGGAATAGGCTGCCCAACTCCATAAGATTGGCTACCCCCCTAACATCTTTTAAAACTCTTCTGCATAAACATTTCTTAACCATATATCCTGCTCAATCTTGACTTTTGTAATTGATAATAACTTTACGCTATGATTAATAAGACATCAATAAATGGTACAAAACAGGAAAGATTCGTACCTTTTGTGAGCTTCCCTCGGTTTCTTTGGACGCGTTATCTTGAGATCTTTGCGATGGTTCAATTATTAGGAAAGTCCATTTGGTTATATAATCTCGATTGAAATAACTAAGGTAAATAAAAATCGTGAAGAGAAATTTATAAATTTATTCCCTGATAATAAAAGAATATTTTTGTTGGTATCATCCCTATCCCTATGGATACCCAACACCTGCGTACTAAAATCGTGTACGACCTTCAACTGTTTTCAAGGGTAAATGTAATCTCAAATGTATACCTTTTGTTGAAAGTTTTGAGTTAGAATAATTACTGTAGTCGAGTCAAAATAATAGTTATAGGTTTCTTCAGATGACTATAATTTGCATCTATCTTCAATCTATCTAAATGGTTATAGCCATTTTTATTAGTAAATTTTCAAAATATATTTTTTATACATAGTAATTAAAATTATTTATTATATTTATTATAACTTTATATTATTTCGTCTTTTAGGTATAATTTTCTGTGATACCTGGTTAACCAGAGACGATATCATAATTAACAAACTGCCATAACTATGGACAAAAGGACCAACATTTTTTTAAATTTTTTTCATAATAGTCAATACACTTCTTGGCATACAAGAAAACAATAAACACATTATTTTTATAGAATAGTGGGCAAACGGGCAGGAGGCTCTTCTGATGATAAGTGATACTTCAGCCCATGGACACTCTCAATACCAGAGAGTGCGTTGCCTTTTAAGAATAAGTACGCTCCTTTCTTGAAGGACCCGAATTGGTTCGGAAGTATTTCAGTGGGCAGCTGGTTCCACAATCCACATAATGGTGGTGCTCGGCAAGCACTGCCTTAAAAATCGCTGAGTTTTGAAACGCCATCGAGGAGAATTTCGTATTCCGCCTCGAAGATTTTTAAGGCCTTTGTTTATAAAATAAAGCAATCTATCCGAAAATAAAAAGTAATTTGGAATAAAGAAATCTGACATTTCCACGTCACGTAGTCGCAGTCAATCAAAAATCTTATCTTCTCGCTAAATTTCGAAGAAAACAAAAAGATATTGTTAAATCTTTTCGTTAACAAAGACCTCGGTAATCGAAAGTCTGTCTGGAGATTTAAGTTAATTATGTGAATACGTTTTCGTAAATACGTTTCATAAAAGATTCGTTTAATACATAATTTAACAATACTAATTTTACTATTAGGACTTTTCTATGTTCCACAAACGAAAGTATGTATTAGATTTGAACACATACATTCGTTTTAAAATAATTAAGTCCACAACTTGAGTGTTTTTTGTGAGCACTGCTAAAAGTAAAAGTATAAAAACATTTTAAAAAACCTTACAATGAGAAATAATAATTTACCACATAATATGTGATACTGATACGTAAGCTCCAGATTCACATTGACGATTGAAAATTGTACAATTCACAAAATAGTTTCTACAGTCATATTTATTAATAGACTACAAATGAAAAAAAAATACCTGTGAAATGAACCAACGTGAATAACCCTTAGAAGGCTGTTACTATATTTGAAAATAACTCTGACCACTATGCCGTCATTTCTGAGCGGTACATGTGAGTTCGTGGAGGAATTTCTCTGGTACAAATGAGGAATTTCGACTAATTATTAATGTACGGCTTTGTTATAATGTATAGATGATTAAAAATAAATGTCGAAAAACTTAGTGCCCTACTAAAGTGATGGTGCCGGAAGTCGGTGCAAATTTTTAATTCGACGATAGTTGCAGAAGCAATATAGGTCATTTATTACTGTACGGCATTTGTGTAATTAATTAATTTAGTCATATTTATTTATTTATTATAACATTATTAGTAACTCGCGTAAAAACTCGTCCACACACACCCCAATTGCCAAACGAATATGTAAATGAACCGTCACCATTGCCTGGTAGAATTTTAATTACTTTCAAAGTTGTATTTTTTAACAAAAGAAATACTATAATATTTATATACCAGATGGTTTCTTAAAAGCTGGACAGTTTGTTGTGACGTTTACCATAATCCAAATTTCCTAATCCAATGATATAACGTTAATTTTGCTAAATATGTGATCCCGAAGTGACGTCAATATAATATTGTGTAATGTTCGGTTTGATCAAACAGGCGCGGCATATAATGTCAATATTTCATATTCATCAATGCGCTAATTGAATTAGATGATAGTGGTTACATAACTATTTTATAATGAATGACTGTTAGGTATCTCGTGTATTTGTGTGATATTTCTGGCTACGAATTATTTTACACATATTTTAAAACACAGAAATTTAGAGTTCTTGGACAGAATAATTGCACTGTTTTAACACAGTTACAGTTCTGATTTGTTTTTTTCTGTCAAATTGTGTATTCGTTGTAATGGACAGTGACTAGTTTTATGTGCAATTGCAGTCATTTGTTTTTATGAATAGGGGGTTATTAGTTTGTTAAACATTATAAAAAATATAAACAAATATTCGTACATCATTCAGGTTACCTGAAATACATGTGACATATATTGTTCTTACATAATGTCTAAGGCAAATAAATTTTGTTTGTAAATAAACTCCTTAACTCCTCGCTGTATGGATTTTGATGGAATTTCTTGTGTTTCTAAATTGGTTAAAGAATGGTTTAAATTTACAATTAGATTTTTTTTGTCCATGTAAACAGGATAACGTCTGTCAGGTTCTTTATTAGATATTTATATTATTTATTCGTTAACATTAACAATCATTAAAATTGCTGAATAATAAAGATAAATAAAGGTATAATAATATATGCAAAACTTTAAATTTAATATTCTAGATGTGGATTAGTAAAATTACTATCTGAAATTAGTGTTGAAGCGTGAAAACCAATTTGTGTACGAAATTAATTATAATATTAATTAAATTTCATTTTGAAGCAATTATAAGTGAGAGTATTTTGGCTAGTGATCTAAAATGTTTATCAAATCTAGACTTAATTTTGGTTAATTGGTTTGTTTATAAAGTTGTCTATCTTGTTATTTGTGATAAGCTTTAAATACAGAGTTTCAGCTCCAAGGTTAGTTTGACACCGCATGGAATATTTTTGATTCCAAGATAGGAACTCTAGTAATCCCATCAAAAAAAATTCTTGTAAAATGTTGCTGAGATCACGTGGCACGGCTGCCTTGTGGTGCAGGGATCGATTGCCTGGGATAGGACACTGTAACAGAGTAGCCTGATCCGCACCACGTGATCAACTGTTGAAGTCACGATCTCCAACTATCATGAATGATCTGAAATGAACCTTCGCACAGGAAGGGCCATACTCCCCCCGTTTTGTAGAGCTGGGAGATGTTGGGTATGCTTACAGTGATTCGTTAATATTCACGCTTCAATGGCGCTGCCCATGGACACTCACAATGCCAGAAGGCCCGCAAGTGCGTTGCCGTTAAGAATTGGTGCCCTCTTTTATTGAAGGACCCAAGTCGAATTGGTTCGGAAATACTTCAGTGGGCAGCTGGTTCCACATAGTGGTGCGCGGCAAAATCTGCCTTAAGAAACGCTAAGTTTTTACATCGTGCCTTATCTCCCCTTCTGTAAGTCATCCTATCATTTCATTAATCGTCATATTTTTCTTCCGATTCTAGCATATTCATTTATACTGCATTAGATAATTATATATATTAATTGCGACTCAATTAACCCTTGGATTAGCTTTTACATTTTTGTTTATACATATTATTGTTTATTTATTTATTTTTGTTTTTTCTTTAGACTTTACTTTATTTCAGTTATAGCTAGTGTTATATGTTATTTTGAGTCTTCTTTTGTTAATTATTTATGAACTTCTTGTACATTACCCCCTGTAGGTGTTTCTTTATTATTGTCCCATATTAGGGTTGCCTGGAAGAAATCGCTTGTTAGCGATAAGGCCGCCCGTTGCCTAATAACTTATGTAGCTTTTTATATGTATGTTTTTGTAAAAGGTTAAAGTTAAAAAAATCCATATTTCAATTGGCCGCTTATTATATTATGTCCTTTATACAGGTATAAGAATGTTGGATCAACCCTACATGACCGATTTGATAGAAGCAAACTCTATGGGGCACGAACCAAATAAAATTCACATCTACAGCGCCTCGTGGGGACCCACAGATGACGGCAGAACTGTTGACGGACCCAGGAATGCCACCATGAGGGCTATAGTTAGAGGAGTCAATGAGGTACGGTATAACATTTTCTTTTTTTTTACTATTTCTTATAGAACAGGGGGCAAACCGGCTGAAAACTCATCTGATGTTAAGTGACACCGCCGCCCATAAACAATCTCAATGCCAGAGGGCTCGTGAGTGCGTTGAAGGCCTTTTAAGAATGTGAAATACTAGTTGGCAGCTGGTTCCACATAGTGGTGGTGATCGGCAAAAATTGATATGTTCTTGAATATTGTGGAACTTTTTTTTGTTCTATCATCAATCGTTTTTACCGTTAACGGTTGTTTGAGCAAGGAAATTGGAACTTGTGGGCGTTTACGCGATATAAATATTATTATAATCTGATAATACATGAAACCACTCTACAAAGTTGTTCTTTGACTTATAACTTTAACAAGGAACTGTGAATTGTGTGTTCTTGCCCAGAAGTTAATTTAAAATAATTGTAATCATTCTTTCTGTATAAAGCAGTGTTACCCAACCCTTTTAGTGCTATGCTCCACTAAATCTCTTATGTCCAATCGTTTTTGCAGCGCATGCGATGAAAGATATTTTATATGCATTTTTTTACACCTTGAGTAACATTATTGTAATTTTAGTAGGGATTTTAATTTTTTTCTTGCAATTAAAATAGCCTATATTAATCAGTGATAAGCATTCAAATGATGAAAGAATTTTTAAAATCGATGCAGTACTTTTTGAGCCAATTCGTTACATACTTACATACAAAACTTTCCTCTTTGTAATATTAGCAAAAGCAAAACACATCCGGGCAAATTCATGAACTTAACTATAACTAGTCTTGATAGCTTGATAAAGGTCAGTAGTAATTTAATTTGAGCCACTCAGGCTGGAAGCCTTGCCAATCAAAAATCAATTAAATGAATTACATTATTCTCTTAGAGGACTTCTAAGAAATATTATTTCGATTTTATTTCATTGTAATAAACGAAGTCTTCGCTAAGGCGCCTATTACACGTAAAGTATGTACTGTAATTCGTCAGTTCAGTATTTGTTGTAGATTCGTAGCTTTTAATGATGCATTACACCAGAAACACGTTCAATATTTATTACGTCAGAACATATGGTGGTGACTAGTCGTACTTGAATTCGTGTATGCGGTAATGTTAGTTGATTCGACTATGTATTTGCGAGTTGTACGAGAATGTAAGTACGTGCTTCTACTTCACCATGCCTCCTGCTGATAGAGGACAAATCTTTATTTTTACTTTATTTTATTATTATTTATTACTTGATATCTACTCTGTACGATACAAAGTCCTGGAACAGATGCCTACATCTTTTACTTTTGATCAGATTTAGATAGGCAAGTACAACAACTGTGACTTCTGCTACACTTCAGTGATAGTTGGGCCCACAATCCCCACAAAACCAGATTCTGGATGCATGACCTCTTGTTTTGTATTGTTTGCTTTGTTATATATAACCGTTTCCTGATGACATGTGTAGTGTTAATTGGATTTAATAGAGGTATTATCTAAATATTTATAGTAGCATAATACTCAATTACTCCAACGCAGTTAATGCAGCAATTGTTGTTGTACATTATTTAAACATTGTCTAGAATATTATAGCTTAACGACGCCATTTTAAATTTACAGAAAACGTCTAATATACATGAAATCCTATAGAAATGTTCGCTTGCTTAAACTATGTTACGAGATTATAATAATTTCTTTTTCATACTCATCAATAGTTTACTATGAATGTATTTCCATATAGATAGACTCTAATACCGTTAACGGTTGTTTGAGCAAGGAAATTGGAACTTGTGGGCGTTTACGCGATATAAATATTATTATAATCTGATAATACATGAAACCACTCTACAAAGTTGTTCTTTGACTTATAACTTTAACAAGGAACTGTGAATTGTGTGTTCTTGCCCAGAAATTAATTTAAAATAATTATAATCATTCTTTCTGTATAAAGCAGTGTTAGTGCCATGCCCTTTTAGTGCCATGCTCCACTAAATCTCTTATGTCCACCCTCCCTTATGATACATACATAATTGTAATAAATGAAGAAATCACTAAAGAATTCTTAACGAAAAACAGTAATTTAAATTTTCAATTCAACAATAGTTTAAAGTCTTACTGAAAATTATAACATAGTATATTTTAACTGAGGTGAAATAACAACATAATGATATAAATAATCAAATATTTCAAGCAATAAAGCCTCAAGATGCTACGAATACAAATGTTCAACAAAGTTCAAAGACAACCAACCATTCACAATATTAGAATTAACATAGGAAAATATTTCAAACGCAAAGTCTATAAGACTATAGACGCAAGAGCTTATTTCTAAAACAATGTGATAGCTTATTCCGTTTGCATTGGCGCTCAAAGCTTATAAAAGCTTTCTCGCCTTAGGTACGCGCTATTTCCGTTTGATGAAAGCTGAAAAACGAAAATGATGGAGGTTCCTGTCTGAAATGAAAGTCTGAAAGCCGATTATATAATTTTAGCTTTGTAGCAATGTGTTTAAGATATAAATTTTCTTGGATAATATTAGATTTTCCATTTTTTCCAGTTCAGTTTTATTTATAAGCATTCAACATTGGCTTTTATGTAGGTACTGTTTGATAAATTACTCCAGTTTATCGTTGACCCATAACATTTATTAAATGTATTTTAACCAGAGGGCATAAGGTACAACCACAAAAAATGTTTGCATTACGGCACATAAGACCTTTTTAATAATATTATTAATATCAGCGAGAGTTGCGTAAAGCGACTTCACTTTCAACTAAACAAATCATCTGTCAGAGCTAAATGTCAGCTGCCAAAGTTCTTGAAAGAAAGAACATACATGCCTTACAGTTAAATTTTTACTAAAAGATGCTATCCGATTATGTCATCGATAACTTATTTATTTATTTAATTATAAGTAATCTTACAGCTAACATACATATTATAGAACAAAACACTTAGACAATACAAAAAGCCAAAACAGATTACATAGATAAACAATATATACGAAACAGAAAACAAATAAGTACATTAATAGACAAAACTATATAAAGAAAACTGAAATTTAATATTTAAAACTACAAATAATACTTAATATTTCAAATCACTGCTTAAACAAAATCAGAGTCTTCCCGCCTCTTCAAATACTTTCTCACATCTTCTTTGGTGAGGTGGAAAATATCAATACCTCATAATTGGTGTCATAGTTAGATAAAACCCGAAACATTGGCGAATTATGCAGGTAATTCGAGTTCGTACGAGGCACATGGAACAATTGTGTGTATCTTGTCGCATAAGGAGGGGGAATTTTAAGAGAAATTAACGACAGCAAACAGGGGCAATCTATCCGCCCATTAAGAATAGCGTGTAAAGAAAGCAAGTCTTGCTGACTTCGCCGACATTCCAATGAGTCTAAATTAAAATATTTTTTAACTTAAACCACTTATGATGGTAATTCCTATTAATAAAGACTAACAACTTACACGCTTAAAATTTCTTGAAAAATATACTTAAATTTTAATAATTCATGGGCTTTGTAGAATGATAAAGAAGTAAGTAAGTAAGTATACAAATAATGTACACATAAAAAGTAAAAATAAAAGCTAAATCAAAAATCAAACAATCCTATAATTGGATCAGCTTAATGAACTATAAAAGATAAGAAGTAGAGACACAAACAATCCTGTCAATCAGCAGCTCTAGATCACAGACTTCTTTCTTCTGTCTTCTTCCTTCTTTCGTAACCAAACTTCAAACAAATGGTGTGGTTTGTTGTACCTTTAGTCACGTACATAATACAGTTTATTGTATAACTAAGGACTAAGTATGTTACACGAACATTAAGCTTATTTCAACAGGATTAGCGCAACTGTGGTTGGGTAATGATTGTATAATACAAACTGTTTTTGACTAAAATGTTTATACGTATATTAATTTTATTACTTATGTATTTATTCATTATGTATTTCTACCAGGGTCGGAACGGGCTGGGCAATATTTACGTGTGGGCAAGTGGTGATGGCGGTGAAGATGATGACTGCAACTGTGACGGTTACGCGGCCTCAATGTGGACAGTTTCTATAAATAGGTATTTTTTTTAAATGCCCGACAAAGTTTTTTCTTAAACAAATATTACCCCCTACAAACAGACCGAAATTAATGCGAATGCAAAATGGTGTATATTCTATATTTAAGCAGTTTTGTGTTTTTTTAAACATAATTAAATATTTTTTAACTAAAGAAGGTTTATAGTTAAGACCAAACATGAGGGAATTTTGTTTTCATTTACTTATTTAAAGAAAACACTTTTTTACCGGATTTATGTATTATTATAAACTTATAATTATTTTACATAATTAAAAAAAATCCGACGTTTCGCGTGCTTAACAGCGTGCGTGGTCATGCTGACTGAAGACAAAAGGTGTTGAATGTCAAAAAGTATCACAGCTGTAGAGAAAGTTGTATTATCTGTATTTATTTCCCCGGAGTTGATATCGACTAAAAGATGGAGGGTTTTGGCAGAAATTACTCACGGTGTCCTCTATTAATAATCGTCGGAAAAATATTTAATTATGTAAAATAATTATAAGTTTATAATAATACATAACTTCAATCCGGTAAAAAAGTGTTTTCTTTAAATGTGTAAAAGTTATGTTTCTTTTACTTATTTCAAACACATGTAATAGTGCGATAAACGACGGCCAGAACGCCCATTACGACGAGTCCTGCTCCTCGACCCTCGCTAGTACCTTCAGCAACGGAGCTAGAGACCCCAACACTGGTGTAGCGACCACTGACCTGTATGGCAAGTGCACCGCCACGCATTCAGGCACTTCCGCCGCGGCACCGGAAGCAGCAGGAGTTTTTGCATTGGCCCTACACGCTAAGTTAGTTTGTATATTACTAAGAACATATATTAAATGTATTAAGGCACATTCTTAAAGTTCTTCCTTATTATCTTCATAAAATAATTGCAGAAAATATTTAAAATATTCAAATTTCTATTCTATTATTATTGAAAGACCTACTCTTAAACTAAATGACATCTTTATTTCCTTAAGACGTAATAAGGCAAAATAAATATGTCTTGTGTTGATGGTAATAGCCGTAGACCAAGTTTAATAGTTAAAATCACTATAAGTAGAAAAATGTGTTTGAAGAATATATTGTCTGCAATTAATACAAATTCATTATTAGTTTAAACATATGAAATATCTAAAATGGCTACGTAGCTACGACGAGCGTAGCTAATTTTATGCGCGTTGCGTAATCTGACGTATGCTATTAAAATTGTAGTCATAATAATTTTAAGAAAGACACGTTATCAATGACTTTTCTAAAGAATACTGCATCGAGAAAACCTGAAAGTATCAGATAGTATTGCTTTCTTTGCGTCAGTAATGAAATATTTAGTAAAATCTTTGCTTGTCGCTGTAAAGTTATACAAAGCCGATATTGATAAATTTTGTGTTATAAGATTTCCTTGTAATTAATAAAATAATGAATTCCACAAATTAATTTAAAAATGTTTTTATTCCTAGCGTTTGTAAAGCTTCAATTTCTTAATTGAAAACCTCTCTAGTGACCACTTTGAATAGAAATATAATTTTATTAATAGCGGCTCGGAGTATTCATAAAATAGAAAGTAATTTGAATATCTTTCACGTAACTTTCCTTTGGAAATAAAGTTCATTTAAATATGCTATTAACATATTTTTCATATAAAGCTTATTTTAAATGCAGTGAACTGAGCCAAGTCGTTTAATTTGATATACCTTAGGTGGCTTTGAAGAGTGAAAATTTTCCGATGTAGACCCATTTTGGCGCTACGAAGCGGGTTTTACGTAATCAAATCAGTATGCCTTGCTCAACAATGTTTTAATATTTAGGTAAAGGAAGTAATAAGCAATATTCATAATATAATATCAACATATAAATATACAAAAAATATTCGTGCATGACAAAATAACATAAATACATAAATAACATAGTATATAAAAAAGCAATATTCTTGCTATTCACCAAAAATGCTTATTGAGTTACAATATATTATAAGTACATACTTTAATATAAAGGAAATTTCCATTTTCTGTTATGAAATATTATACCTATTCGTTTTTTCAGCGCGAACCTCACATGGCGTGACATTCAACATCTAACGGTATTGACGTCTAAAAGGAACTCATTGTATGACGCAAAGGTAAATCACATTTATCATTTATCCGTTGATCAAACTGACAGGAAGTTTATTAAATTTATTTACCGCCCTATCAGAAAAAGTTAGAAGCAGTATTATTTTATAATATGTTGAGACACGTATAGCTCTGTTTACGTCATACACACTAAGGTTTCATGATGAATTAGATTGATCAAATTCACGATATAAAAACTTATAGTTGAAATTATTTACGGATCTTCATGGTAACATAATATGTTGTCGTTCCGTTGTTGTTGTACCGTTGCCAGTGTTCGTTCTCGTGAAGAAAACATATAATAATTAAATATATAGTCACAAGCATAACAAGGTTACTTGTATTTCACATTAATAGGAGTGCTGTGCTGGTGGTGGTCCTATTTTATGGGCAAATAGAAATGTGTGTAAAAAACTCACTAGAGTCTGGTTAATGAAAGAAGATAACGAAAAAGCGCGGCAAATTAAAAAAAAATAGTATGGTATCCCTAAAAGTTTGATATATTTAGTGGATTAAACATACTTGATACTTGATTTTATTTTATTATTTTTTACATTGATAGTAACTGTATTTCTATAAAATCAAAACCTATACGAATTTAGTATTTTACTATTGATACTTAAAATGACTAGCATTGCATCGAAAACTAAAACTATATTTATTATAAAACACAACTTTATCTCGGAATAATCAAATCAAAATCAAATCAAGAGACAAAATATTATATCAAATAAAACAGAGTTTAGGCTATTATACCTGTTAACTATTCGGAAAAAATATATAGAAATAGAAATAGAAATGAGTAATTGCATGAAGTATCAAGACAATAAATCATACTAACCTAAGAAATTCAATGACATTCTGTGTTGCCATCCGAAAGTTTTCAAATAATTCAATTATCTTCTTTCATTAGCCAGACTCTATAAAGATAATAATTATTAATTAAAGGGTCGTTTTCATTGGACAATGAACGGCGTGGGACTAGAGTTCAACCATCTGTTTGGTTTTGGAGTGCTCGACGCAGGTGCCATGACGGCTTTGGCGGCGAACTGGCGATCCGTGCCTCCTCGGTATCATTGCGAAGCTGGCTCTGTTAAAGCGCATACGTAAGTAATTTTAGCAAATACGTTCACTAGCCTTCTCCTCGAGGAGGCATATTAATCTTTATATATATAATTCTTCTGTGAGTGTGTACGTCACTGAACTTCTCTCAAACGACTGGACCGATTTTGATGAAATTTTTTGTGTGTGTTCAAGGGGATCTGGGAATGGTTTAGATTCACAAATCAGCCCGGCAGATGGCACTGCAGTCGGTACTTTCATACTTTGCTTAATATCCTAATCGCTTTAAATATCATGCAGGACAACGTCTGTGGGGTCACTAGTATACTATAAAATAAAAACTAATTTTAAAATCACTTAGACTTAAGAATTATTATCGCCTGCCTCAGATGGAATGTGGAAATGGATCCTTTAGATTTTGAGTTCTTCTCTTTATAATATTATAATAATTATTTATTGAAGTTTACCACATCATAAATAATACTATATCTACGGTATATGTTACAAGCTCTTTTATGAAATATATGACCATTTTGGTAAATGTATATAAAATAAAATAAAAATACAATCAAAATACTAGCAATTTTTGTTAAGCAGAAAAAAAATACCAGCAATGCTACGGATTAGGTATGAGCAATGCTTTCTTTAAAAATGATCAGCCCAGTACCAAATATATCCAGGTCCGGATAATAACTGTTTAATCCGTTACAATCGCGATGAATTACGAAGTATAGACCTATATCTAACATGTAGGTAATCTTTACGAGTATCTACTAAGATTAAAGCCCTTTAGAGCTCATTTGGATTTGTGCTTTTTAATATAAAAATTGAATTCATTGAAATTAAACTGGGGCGGCCATAGAGCAGGCAGAATATAATAAACGGCACATATATAACAGTCTTTCCTCCAACTACGATTTTGTTCCCTATTGAGTAGAGCCATGGGGTTCAAGTGCACGGGCGCTTATTAAAGGTTTAAGTTGGGGCCTAGTAGATAGTACCGGTGACCCCAGAGCTGGCACTTTCCTGGCTCAACGAATAAGTATCGCAATACAGCGAGGAAATGCTGCCAGTGTTAAAGGTACACTGCCACAGGGACCAAACTTTTTAAATTTGTTTTGATTTTCTTTTTAATAATTTTTATTATTACTTTGTAGGTTAAGAAAATTGTAAATACTGTGTACTTGATTGTTAATAAATAAAGACGTTTATTGAAATTGATATACTTACCGTAACGTTAAAAGTTTATCCAATGACAACATTCTAAAGTTCTCATCTCATTAATATTACTCCTGTATTTAATATTGTTTCAGTGAAATACCGACAGATGGCAGTGTGACTCTTCGCATCGAGACCACGGCGTGTTCCGAGTCGGCAAGTGAAGTGCGATACTTGGAACACGTTCAGGCGGTCGTTAGTGCTAATGCTTCGCGACGTGGTGACCTCGAATTCTTCTTAACAAGTCCAATGGGAACTAGGTACACTCTAGGTTTTATGTCAGAGAAAATGTAGATTATGAGTGCTTGGGCTGGTTTAAGTAATACGACTTATACCATTAATGTTTTCGTGTACGATGTACGATGGAGTTAACTTTTGTATGCATGACAATATTTTCCTATTAATTTATTGCATTAAAAATAAAAATACTAAGACTTTTTGTTAAGTAGAAAAAAAAAGAATTACCAGCAAATCAACGCATTAGATAGGTGGCGTAACTATACTATCTGGGGCCCGTGGTTAACCTTCTTTCGTGGCAATTCTTTTGTGGTTTATCAGTAAAAATCTTCACGTTGTGCTCAGTTCAATTTTAATAAACTTCGAGATTTTTAGCGTATTCAATTACACGCTGTATATGTCCCACTAAAGGCCATAGGTCTCCACTTCTAGGCGAGAGTGAATGGTCTGTAGTCCCCACGCTAGCTAGCCCAATGCGTATTGGAGACTTCACATTCATCCATAGAACATAATATCTCTTGGGTCGGGGGCCCGTGGCATTTTGCCAGCCCTGCCACCCTAATGTTACGCCACTGGTAAAGGCTTTGCAATGCTTTTTTTTTAAATAGATCAGCCTGAAAATGATAAGACACAAACCTGTATTCTTTTTCTCATGTTCACAGATCAATGATACTAAGCAGGCGTTCAAATGACGATGACATGCGAGATGGTTTCGTCAAGTGGCCTTTCATGACGACACACACCTGGGGAGAGTATCCACAAGGCACTTGGACTTTAGAGGTATTTGTATTTCTGTGTTAAAGGACATATTATTCAATACAATTCATGCAAGATTTTAATACACCAGTTTACGGATATTGGATTTTGATAAAAAATAATTGACCTACTGACTATTACAACAGTGCAGCGATCTAAATGGTACGTGTACTTATGTACGCGCGTAAGAAGTTATACTTCTTTGGCTTTGGCATAGCTGCTAACGTCACGCATATTCTATTTCTTTTTACTTGTAGATTGTCTTATTCCCATCTCGCTCGCGCACGCTCGGCGCCCATACTGATAATTTTGTGTCACGGTGCGCGCGCATCGTAAAATTTCACTCTCATACATTTTTCATAACGCGCCTAAAGAAGTATAACTTCAAAAAAAAAAACTTTTAGAAACTTTAAACTTGAGTTATGTAACCTAGCATCAGCCAAGTTATACATATCTAAATTAGTAAATAATTAGAAGCGTGAATCAAATGTTAGCAATCATCGCACACTTGAAGCCAATATGAGCCATTTAGTTTTTCGTACTCTTAAATTGTAATTTAACATTCTCGTTTCCGATAATGTCTAAAAGGTCGAATACACTTGTATTGACGTACAATTTAGATTTATGAACCCTTACATAAGCCAAGTTAGTTTTTGTTAGCGTCGCAACCCCACTACCCCTAATTTTATGTTAGTTATAAGCTCATATTTTAATCCATTTAAAGCCATGTTACCCAGCTTCAAACAATATGTTTCATTTAACATATATCTTCAACCGCCAGCGAACTCTTGTCTTGATTAAATTTTACTTGTTTCTAATAATAACCCTTAAAGAGCTATTGAATGGTTGTCTTTATCACAATTGTACCGCTTTTAATGAAAAGTAAAGTGAGAAAGCATTTAATGTATTGATAATATGACGATTTTAACTCAATATCTATCTTTTAAAGGCTCGATTCAACGGTGGTTCAGGACCCAGTTCAGCATCAGGTTGGCTTCGGGGTTGGTCTTTAGTCCTTCACGGATCCAAGGCGCCGCCCTACGCCCAGCTACAGCCCCAAGACCCATATTCCAAGCTAGCTGTCGTCAAGAAAGCACACGAAGACAACGCACATACAAAATAAGCAATTTTTCTTAAGCATTCCTTTTAGCTAGCACGTGAGAAAAATGGGGCCAATTTGTTTGATATTCAAATACTTAGCCATTGTGTGAAGGAATATAAATGCTTAGTTTGTTTATATTTTTAAATCGTCTAGTAAATATCAAGTTGGTGAATGAAGAATTCAGCATTACCTGTATATTTTGAAAGGCTTTATTTTCTGTATAGTAACGAAGAAACCTAAAATCTTGTCTTGTCACGTGCTAGAGCAAAAGAGAGAATTGAACCGCAAACGTCTTTCATTAAAAAGTTTATCTTAACGACTCTTTAGTTACGTAATTATTTAAGTTTCGAATTTAGAATACATGCCAAAACTCGTACTTATTGTCCTTATTTATGAAGGTTTTTAATGCTTTAATAATTTTATATTTTAAGATATAAAAAAAATATTTTTATTCACGCATTTGTGAAAAGCTAAACATTATAAATATCGATTCAATATAGTATTTGTAATTCATACGGGTTTATTACAATGGCTCTAGTCATACAAAGCAATTTTGATTTCACCTCACACGGTGACACACGGAAAACAATATCATTATTACAACTATTTAGCATTATATTGATTGAAGATAGCTTCAAGTCCTTTTTCTCTATTATATATTTCATTCATATAAAAAAACTAAATAACATATCACACTATGATATATCCAATCTTTAATAAACAAAAATATAGAATTCAATCTGTTATGCAAAAATCTATTATTTTATAACTACAGTCAACTGTTATAACGACATCGAAGGGACTACTCAATACTCATATTTGGTCGTAAAAACCGATAGTCGTAACAGCCGATGACGTTGTTATTAAGAACCTAATGCAATAGAATTCAGCCGGGAATGATTTTGGTCAATATAACCGGTATGTTGTTCTAAACTATGTCGTCGTAAACGGTTTTGACTGTATTTTGACTCGAGACAAAACATATAACGCACCTTAATTCAAATATACTTCTTTAAACCCAGCTATAAGAAGTGTATTTGGAGTTTCTTGTAACAACTGTATAAGATGTACTAAAATATTAGAGTTAAAAATATAAATAAAAAAACTTCCTTTTGGGCCCAGCATGAAATTTAAATTACTAAAATAAAAGCTTCCATACTAACAAAACAAAAGTTTTATATTGGGCAAAAAAGTAGTTAATACAAATTAGTATAATAAGCGCATATAAAGAGAAATATTATGTATTACTATATTAATAGAAAATATAATGTGATTTGGTGTTGTATTTGAATTAAAACAAGTTTTTCTAATTAAATCCTTTCCCTTATCAACCAATTTGTTTAACCCCTAAGTATTTAGGGCGGGTTTAACACGTAGGCGTTTCTCATTGAATTGGTTTAGGATTGAAATAGTATATATTAAAGACTTGGAGTGAGAATGCATAACGAAAGACGACACGACAATATTTTCAGTTTGATACTAATTGGTAAACCCCATTTCTTGACTAAGGGAGCGTTCAAGAATTACGTCACGCAATTTTTGGAGGTTATTGACACCCCCCCCATGTCACGCGCCGTAACGTTTTTCTATACCCAAGTAGAGTAATCCCCGCCCCGCATCGTAACGTTTTACAAAAGGACAAAAATTTGTTACGTAATACTTGAACGCTCCCTAAAACATGGTGACGCACGTCAAAAAAAATTATAAAATAAATTGGTAATTAAACACGACAACCTTTTTAGGTCTGGGCCTCAGATTTCTGTATCTGTTTCATGATAATTTGTCAATCTAATAGGCAAGTAGGTGATCAGCCTCCTGTGCCTAACACACGCTGACTTTTTGGCTCTAAGGCAAGGTGGTTTCCTCACGATGTTTTACTTCACCGTTCGATCGATCGTTAAATGCGCAAATTGCAAAAAAGTCCACTGGCACTGTGACACTGACACAATACTGTTCACAGACACACGACATGACACGTCTGTTTGATCAATCGTAATTGTCGTTTGTTGCAAGAGGATGAGAATTCTATGTGCCTTATTCAGTTCCAGGCTCCTTCTTATAGTGCCATCTACTTTCGAAAGTTGGCGATCATTAGTATGGTGGTGGTATTCCGTTTCCTGGTCCAACCAACAATATGACTTATGACTGTACACTGTATAGGCCTACTAAGCTCCCACTCATTGGCCCGTGGTTGTAAATAAGGATTTACTGGCGGCGTTGACTCGTCGCATTGTTTTCACTGGATATCTATAGTGGGAGGAGAAAGGTCCTGGAAGAGCCTTTCCTATGGGCTACCCACTACACTCTCTAACGCTGCCAGTGTGAGGTCGGGGACTCCATGTACCTGTGGTGAGCACACCTAAGCTCTACCTAGTTCCAGGCTAACCCGAGTTATTTATACAAAGAACTAAGTTTGGATCTGTATATAGTGACATCTATAACCTGTGGTTGCAATGATACGCGTTGCGTTTATAATATACGACATCTTGACATCAAACACTGAGTGCTGACCAGTTATTGGTTCAACTGGTCACAGATACTGGTAAAAGGAAGGTCTTTAGGTTGGAGGAAGTGCACGCTTTAGACCCGCCAGCCCGTTTAAAACCACGAATAATTTGACGCATTTAAATGAATTTTAAAAGCTTTTTTATATGAATATTTCAACGAAAGGAATGTTGCAGTAGTGCTAGTATTCTGCAATTTAATGTTCCTCAACTCCAGGAATATGGAAAAAATAAATATCGTATTCTACCACATATATGTTAGTACTTTTATACTGATAATTAAAGCAATTCGTGCAAAATTATTCCCAAACCATACAAAAATATCAAAAATGCTCAACGTTAATATTCAAGTTTTCACCTGTCGTTTTTATTCACTTGGGCAATGCATTGCGCCGCAACGCGACTGCTTCTGCGAGAGGGTTATGTGGGACTCGTGATTGTGCATACTAAAATCCCATGGCGCCACCAACAGTGGTCTTAGGCAGGATGAGTAACGAGAGCAGAGCCTTATCCGCTTCCCACCTACCATGCGATGTGGCGGTTGCGTCCGCCTCTCCAAGCCCAAAGCAGTTTGCATAAGCTAACTTGACACTTATCAGCGCCATCTGTTTTCAATAATTAAAACCAATCAGGGTCGGTATAATAGAATTCTAGAAAGTTTTTCATTGGTTAAATTAAATAAAGACGTCTTTTGGACATTTAATAGATTTATAAAACTGGGAGTCTTTAAAAATATAATAAGTACACAGTTTTCGATATAAATAAATTTATTGCTTATTAATGTAACAATGTGGCTGTAACAATTAAAACGATATTTAAATACATGATATATGGGTAACATGTATAAAACTGAATGTCATTTTGGCTTATTATGATTAAAATTATTGAAAAATATCAGTTTTAGGTGTAATTCATTAAAAGAAGGCATTCATTACGACAGCATTCTAAAAACTGATTCCTCTAATTTCTATTCAAGAAAGTACTGTTTTAGGATTTCAAAGATAATAAACATTAAAACATTTTAGCAAATTTCCTTATTATATAACACTATTTACAATTATATATTATTAAGAGGCACTTATTTTGAAAATAATAACATTATGCAAATACTAGCTATATTACAATGCATTAAAAACAAACAATTCGTTGTTCACGTATAGTCCATATATACAAATTTATGCCCGGGTTAATATCCAAAGTTAGAGCGCATTATGGCGGTTGTACTCAGAGTCTTTTATTAAATTATCTCAAATTGTCATAACAGAAGAAGTATGCAGCTAAGGTACGAAATTTAGTACCGGATTAGTTAAAGCTTTATTAAAAAAAATACATTTTGGTTTCAAGATGTATTTTTTTTAATCAGACGAATGTGATATTAATTTTTAAGTTTAATATCAATTATTAATTTTGATAAAAACTACAATGATTAAAAAGTTTTTATATCACTATCTAAATGTAGTATTTATTATACTTTTCTTTAAATTAATTTTTTATTTTAATTTTTAACTTTAATATCAATCTTTTATTTTGATAAAACTAAATTAATTAAAGTTTGAAACTCCATGAAACGAAAAAGGACAATAAAAAGAGACAGACACATAGATTCATAAGTTTAAATTAGTGTTGTAAGAAGTTTTCGCTTCAATAAGTTTTTATAATTAATATGCAATATAAATAAAATTGACAAATTTCATCTAATTTTATAATGAAATTAAATTAATCTCTTACTTAATTTTTTTGCACATCTCACATCTAATTCTTTTGATCATCAGAAAATGATCAAATACTAATTTCAAGTTTACACTGTATAATGCTTTCGATATAATTTTCTAACACGTTAAAACTTATGAATTTTTGTCTTTTTATGTCACTTTTTTGTTTCATCGACTTTCAAATCACCACGCTGCTAAAAAAGTTGTCACTTAAAGAATAGTGAAAGGTCCCTAAAATCTACTAATATAAATATTTATTAACTACACAGATTTTTCTATGGAAATTGATCAGCTTTACAAATTTGTCCAATTCTGGAACTTTGGATATAACCCACTTAACCGACTGAGTATACCACAGATGTTACTGGTTTTTCTTTAACCAGATTTAAATGTCATCCGATTGCTATGGAGACGTAGTGACAAGCTGGTTGTCATAGCAACGAATAAACGTGCATCTTTAGTCTGGTTCATACATGTTTATAGTCCTGCTTCATTATAGGACCGGCCATTCGGTCCGACATCAATGGCCCTTTCAGAAAACCCGTTGAGCCCATTGCTGTGCTCACGGGAACTTAACTGTCAGAGGTCTGTGAAAATATATATATATATTTAATAATAATAAATCGTTTATTTGTATAGATACATTCAAATTAAGTATAAATAAAACCACACAATCAGCTATATAAAAAACGGCATGTCAATTATCATAATAATATAAGCAGTTCAGATATTTATAATTGTTGTCAAAACATATTTTCTAAAAACTATTCCAATTTAAAAATCTAATCGTCATCCCAGAAAGCATTATTGGCATCTATAACTTCTGGGAAGGTGATTAAATATCTTTTTATTGACATAAGTTAAGTTCGGTGGCGGTACAACAGTATGGAGGTGTTTAAATAAAACTCTTTGTTTGAACTGACATTAATGGTTTAAAATATGAGTTTATAAGGGTTAATAAATCTAAATGACACTTCTGTTATGCACATTATCGGAGACAAGAATGTTAAGATACAATTTATAAGTAAAAACTAAGGGCTCGCATTGGCTTCAAGTGTACGATGATTGTTTACATTTGGTTTACGCTTCTAATTATTACCTATAATATTTATATGTAACTTAACTATACTCAATAGACTAACACTTAAGTAATAAAATATAAAACATACACAGGAGGCCTGATGACCTGTAACACAGGTACTCTTACCTTTATCAGGCATCAGTCTCACACAGACTTGCTTTTTCCATTAACAGAAGTGAGAATATAACTGTCACTTGCTTATGTCCTAAGTTTAAGTTTTTGTGAGAAAAATAAATAAATAAAACTAAAGTTAGGTTACATAACTCATGGCATATCATTTTTTTTAAAACATCGATGGTGCACCATGCAGGCAACCATGTTTGCAATTTTACCTGTGTTAAATCGGCCATTGTATGTTGTTATGATAATTATCCTACCTCAACAGATGCACTATTTACACCAAAAACGATTGTTTACGTGCTTAACCAAACTAAGAGAAGCTCTCAAAAGGAATTTTGTGAGCTTGCTGATACTCCGCTCCTAATTATCGTGTAGCAGTGTTATATACGTATAGCCTATTAAGTCACTGGTTGGTGAAAATAAACTTTCACCAAATTGAAGCTCTAATAATATTTTTTAGTAGTTTTAAAGTTTATCCATAACAAAGAAAATATCCTCCCCCTTCCCTTTAAATTGTGTATTATATATATGTACTCTTGCTATTTGGTTTATACTAATTGTACCAATATTTTTTGTAATAAGACCGAAATACGCCTAAAAGTGGAATCTACCTCTTGGGTAAATCTTATTTTAATTTTTCTTTCAGACGTTTTTATAATAGAAGCTTTTCACGATTTGTTCCATAATCTACTAGTAACTGCAAATTTACTGGTAAAATTATTATTTACCCATAGTTTCCTGCTGCAACTCGAGTTTGTAGGCAGGATTGTCGTAAGGAGGGAGTGAAGACTCGCGGGGTGCTGTTGGCAAAGCTGAAAAGACATCTAGTCAATGCAATTCCAAACATTTTATATTTTAACCCGAAATCGGAATACCACCAAATAAAATATTTATCAGACTTTTTCATAGAACGTTTCTATCTATTAAATTGCAATCTTAAACGTTTTCAAGAAATTTCTATGCAAACTAGATGGCACTGGATTATGTATGGTATTTCAAAAGAGCGTGTCAATTCATAAAAGGCCGGCAACGCACTTGCAAGCCTTCTGGCAATGTGGGTGTCCATGTCGACACTTAACATCAGATGAGCCTCCTAAACGTATACAATAGTAATATATAAAAAACATATATACTCACGCGTTATAGGCACTGAGTGCGGTCGATGCCTGCGTATGACCACAAGTAGTAGAAGCACAGAAGATAGAGCTCCAAGGGCGGCAATAACGCCTACTATCACTAACGCGCCGTAGTAATCGCCGCGCGGGGCATTCCGGCTCCCCGCTATAGATGATGCTTCTATTTCATCTGGAATTTAAGGTACTTTTGCTACAGGTTGCAATTAAAATAAGAAGTGGGGAGTTTCTTGCTTGTTCTTCTCATCCGCTCTACGTTTGATTTGTATTTGGTTGTTTGTAAATTTAAAACCCTCAATTTTTTTTATTAGTATTGACTGAAACTATGAATTCAAGTGGAGTGGATCCGTGGTCTCTGCCTACCGCTTCGGGAAAAAGGCGTTAAAAAAAATGTGTTTCGACGGAATTAAGATTGATGTTTTGGTAACAGAACCTTGCGATATATTTGTAAAAGAACGACATAAAATTGCGTGTTTTTCTCACTGATGAAGATGGTTGTGAAACACTCCTAACGATTTTTGTAACTTTTTTTGCGCATCCCCCAAAATTTGCAGGGATATGTGGGACTCGACTCATACCAGAATCCCTGCTATTCAGAGACTGGGTGAGCAATACCCACTAAATCCACCTCGAGTAGTTCCCACAAAGCCGCATGAGAGGCTCCGGGATCGCTCTTGAATTCTAACGGGATCCTCCTATTTACTCCGCGTCTTCTAACCCTAGGCTTCGACTAAAAGCGCTCCCTCTCTCGTTCTGCTGTCTCCCTTTGTAGCATTACTTCCTCACAGAAGGATACCACTGAATTCTATACCTCGTCTCTGCCGACCATTTTTTGGACAACACAAGGCAGAGCAAGGTTTATTATCCATCATCAAAGATAATGACGTAGCTGAGACCACTGCGGACGATCCTCCTACGTACACGATTTTTGTACCTAATAATACTGAATTTAGAACTTATTAAATTTAAAGACATATTTGAGTTTAAAATATTACAGTCAATTGAGTCCGTTACTACAGTAGTACTACCCGATACGGTAACAGTTTTGGGTCATTCCTAATTAAAAAATACTTACTGTCGACTGGTTCAGGTGAATCTAATGATTTTGTGTTGATTTCCAGGACATTGCTGGTTTTAACTTTTCCATTTGTTAAAAATAGTTCAAGCCATACACGACACCTGAAATATATTTAAAATCGAGTAATGTAGTGGCATTAGGCAAAAGAAACAAAAAGTGCAGCAAAAAGTACAAAACTATTGCCCAATGTTTAACGCAATAGAGGAAGACAATTTAAAAGATGGATAGATCAAATTAAGAAAACATCAGGTGGCATAGTTCAGATAGGAAAAGCAGAATTTGGTGGAGGCCTTTGCCAAAAAAGGGCACACAGATAATTAAAAAGAATGAGACGATAGAACATAAATGTTTTTAATTGTAAAAGTATCAGAAAAAAGGCTATTATTATTGCATGTAAGGTGCCAATGATTTTTAGACCGTTTATATGCATTTTTGGATTTTGTTAGATATATAATTTCTAACATAGTCGATGAAAATTAATCCACTAGCTACTTAGGTCGTTCCTATCAGACTAAGACTCGTTCTTAAGTACGCTAGTCAGTAGTGTTTAGGTAAATAACAAACAATTTATGCTATATCTGATTTTTGTCGTATTTTTTCATAAAGTAGAAAAATTTACCTATTTGTTAAAAGTGCCTAAAGGATTTTTCAAAATATGTAGGGAACAAAAAAGGGGTGATTTGACTTGCGGAACACTTTAAAACATACTTAGCATTCGGTTGCAATCCCATCAAAGTGATGGCTGGCGGTAAGTCCCTTGTAGCGAGTCTGAAGTCGTCGTGTTCTTTTCTGCTCGTACCGCAGGCGTGTGCTGCTCGGTACACCCGCACCCAACGCTCTGCGGGAGACGGCACTCCATGCCACGTGACTTCAGCGGCTTCTGAACCTACAGCTCGAGCCTCGACTGTCACGGACCAGTTGTATGGATCTGAAACATTTATTGATGTGACTTCTTTTGGCGCGTTAGGGAATAATGATAAGAGTAAAATTTTACGATGCACGCGCCCTGCACCTTCCCAAAACCAGATTTCCTGAAGATCTATTCAAACGTCGGTAAAATCGTCTGGGCTGCGAGTTGGCGCTTGCTCTGTTTTATCGACAAGTTGCATTGTCTGTCATGGCGTAGTGTTTTTTAGAGTCGTGTTTATTTAAACCAAAATAATGATTTCTATACGAGAAAACCCGTTCTAATGTGATAAAAAAACATAGTGTTTATTGTAAAATATCATGATTAGTACATATTATATCGTTTCGATTGGAAGTGACCATTCAAATGGACAAGAAAAGGAATTCGAAGAGAGAAACGTCCCTGTAAAGTGCTCGAAGAAAATTATTACGCCAAAGAAGTATAACTTCTAACGCGTGTATCATAATTATTAGTGGTGAAGGCACGAACCTTTATTGGAAGGTGCTTTTCCATTTTAGGTGATACTGTACTCAATAAACGCTGTTATATGGCGCTAATCCAAACCATATCAAAATTACGATTAATTTCATGATCAAGTAAATAATTGCAATTTGCAATTTTAGGAATCCAAGAAATACATGTTTTTAATGCATGCGTTAAATATTAATTGCACTTACCAATATATGGAGCCGTAGTGAACTCAACTTGCCCGGAGTCAACTAATTCAGTGATAGCTCTTGTGGGAGGAATGAGAACCAGGGACGCTTCGTATCTGGTCTCCGGTCTCAGGTCCTGAAGGTATGCTGCTGATCGACTGTGGTGTAGCAGCTCAGTCATGCTGTATATAGGAGTTCCTACTGGTCGATACCTGGAAAAAAATACAAAATTATATGTATAGGATTACTTGCAAGATACAGTTGCCTCGATATCCGAAAATGGTTGTACTTAAAATGATTTGAGTATATCAGGATGTGACAGTGGTTGGTATTTTGAAGGTCCACGGATGTACTTTGTCCAGGAATTAAGACCCTATAGTACACAAAACAAGTAATGCTATTCATTTGTGTCCCATGTAAGAAGACGTTAACAAAGTTACTGTTTAGTCAATTAGTTGAATATCATGCCGATCAATAGATGGCAGTGTTTAGCCAACTATTAAGTTAACATGCGGAACAATAGATGGCAGTTGTTGTATCTGGAGACGTAGTATAGTTTTCTTAGCATATTGTACATAGCGGTGACTGTTTATTTGAATACTTGAGTTTTCATGAGATCTCAAAGTGTATTATTATCTCTGCTCGCTCGCGGACTCTCAAGCGAGCTTGAAAAGTAATGTTTCACACAACATTCTGTCTTACCGAACTTGAACTCCATCGATGAATTGCAGCTCATCCTCGGTGAAGTGTCGCCAAGTTACTTGCGCTGTAGTGTCATTCACCTCCACCACTGACAATTTACAGTCGATATCTCTTCTTTTCTCCTCTGGTTCTTCAACATCCTATAAAAAGATTTTTTAAACTAAGATATACAACGAAAACTGTTTAATATATTTAGGTTTTATGATTGCCTTAAAGAGATCGCTTATAAACTTTTGCCGATTTGCCGATGAGTAGGGATGCCTACAAATTCAAATTTAATGACGTGGAATAAGTGATACATGTATCTTATGTTCCATAATGAACATATTTTTTTTAACGATAAGGCCGCCTGTTTCCTTTCAACCTTTAGATTTAAGTATGTATAACCAAATTTTATGATTTTTATTTTATTTGTCTAAGAAGTGACAATTTGTAAAATCTCGTAACGAATACCCGAACTTCTTGTCCCATACAAACATTAGATTTATATAATGTTTCTATTTTAATTTCTTCATTTCAAATCGAACCCGGGACCTCTCTCGCTCTCCCTCTTTTACTTAGCCTACCTTTTTAGTAGGTACATCAACATACGGAACAATTATTAATCATAAAAATCTATGTACATTTTTTTTATATAAATTGTCTTCCCGCAAAGACTCAATTTTAAATTACAATCAAGCCTTAAGACTAATAAGTAATTTAAAACTAACCTAATTTATTGAAAGAATTTTTAACGTAAGAAAGTTACGTACTTACAGTCTAGAGTAAAAGAAATATAGTTAGTTATATAGTTTTTTTAAGGGAAATATACTCTGTTCTTGAGTGATTTTTTAAGTAGTACTAAATAAATCAAAAACTTTCTATTATTTTTTTGTACTTTTCCAATTTCGCTCCCCATAAAAATCTTCCTGAGAAATCATATAGATAAAGAGATTTACTTACTGTCGATTCACTTTGAGTTCGTATTGTGTAAATTTTACTCTCGGGTTCCACTGGCAGATTATGTAACAGTAGTTTGCCACGTATTTTGTACGTTGTCTCCGGTTTGAGTCCAGCTAAACGGAACTCCAGCCGAGGAGTGGTCAGTATCTCATCAGCTGGTGCGAATACTTGAGAATACCAATGTGAAACGTCATCATCGCTGAAAAATATAAAATTCAATTTATATTTTAATGTACATACATCGTTTTCGGCATAAAAAATTCCAGGATTTCAAATTAAAAATCCATAGGAAATACTATTCAAATTGGTTATTTTTGGTCCATTTAGCGACATGTTTAAATAAAAGTAGTGATTATGCAAACGGTCCTAGATTTCGAATAACTTACGCCAGTTTTTACAATAAAATATGAAATTAATAAGTGACGATCACGAAAAAAAATTCTAGAACAGGTATCATATTAAAAATGTAATAAACTCAAACTCAAAATATATTTATTCATGTAGGTAAACAAGTACACTTATGAATTGTCAGAAAGAAGTTAAATTAATTGTACATTTACATTTACTACTACGAGGTCAAGGGCGTAGAGCGGGTAAGAAGAACTGGCAAGAAACTGTACGAAACGGTAAGAAAATATGTAACTATGTATATGGAAATATGTGATTAATATACTTATATACTTACTCAGTATCTGTGTATCTCAAGTCCACACTGCCTCGTAGTCCAACCAACACAGGAGGCAAACCAAACAACATTTTAATACTTGTCGGCGAGTCTGATTGTAACGAAATAACCGTTAACTTTCTATTTTCCTCTCCAAAACTTGGTATTTGTAACCCAGGTGGAAGACCAGCCAACGAAGGTTCCAAAGGATTAGAAGGTCTATGAATATCGTTTTGGTTGTCTGAAAATATATCATCTGGTGGCGCGGTTGGGAGAAATGCTGGATGACTGCCTGGAAATCCTGGCGGCAGTTGACCTGTAAAACGCTCGGATTTGGACACATATAATCAAGTGTAAAACTAAATATATCACAAAATAGTTATTAAATGAGAATGAGAAATGTGCGATAGTTGATGGTGTGTTGAGTATTTGGAAGATTGAAAATGCCTGAAAAGAAAACTATGTCGTAAAAAAAGATTATAGAAATGAGATACCAAGGCGAGGTCACTGACCTGCCGCGGTCGCTCGATTCTTTTCAGCTGATCGTCCAAGGTTTCGGTTCACATCGGTCTCTACTTCCATCTGACTTAAAATATTTTCGAGGTCGAGGGTAGAATACTTTGAAGGGCTTTTATGACTTTTTATTTGTTCATTTATTGTTGAATGTAGTCTTGTGTTAGGAAGAGCTCTAAGGAGAACCGTTTCATAAGGACTAGGAGCTTTGAGAAGCAAATGCTTGCGAATGTCTGGCTTCCATACAGTTTTTTCTACTGAGTTTGTCTTTGGCATGTCTTTATTTCGTAAAACGGTTACATATTTCCCTTGGCTATTTTGTATTATGTTATCGATTTGATTAATATCAATAGGAATTGTGTTTTTAGGAAGAGGATTAGAAACTATACCAGATTCATTATTTAAAGGAGCAAACATATCTCTGAAATATTGACTTGAATCTAAATGGCTAAACTGTTGATGCTGGATCAGCAAATCTTTAGGCGCATATGCGGGAGTAAAATATTTAACATTTTCTTTAGACGTTGGAATATTGACATCATTTACATAATGATCGGGTATTCTTTGTTTAATATCATTTGTATCCCACATATTAGTTTTCTCTTTTTTGCGATCATGATCTCTGAGCGCAACTACGATCTCTGAGTGGATTTTTTTTGTCGGGCCTACATATGACGTTTGATCTCCACTTTTAGTTGGTTCTACTACTGGTTGGTTATTGAAATTTTTAGCAGAATCTACATCATACATTGTAAAGGCAGTGACATTTTTATGCTCATCTGCTTCTCTATAAGTATTGTTAAGCATAACTGGTACTAAGGACTTCAAATATTTAGGAATTCCAGTTTTTATAGGACGCAAGTGTTTAAAAAAATCTAAATTTGCCGAATGTAATCTTTTGAAGTTCATTGCTTCTGTGGTAAGTGATGGGGTGGGTAAAACGAATCTGGGTGTCGTCAATGTTGATGGAGTGATATAGTTATTTTTCAGATAAGTTTTATGTTTTTGAGTCGATGCGTTCATTCCAGCTGTAATGAGTGAATGATTAGCATGCAATGGTTATAATGATAAGCGTATGATAAGCTTATGATTTTAATGAAATGATAATAGTGCCAATATTAATATACAATAATTAAACTCAAATAATACAAATTCTATTAAATGATTATTATCCTTTTAAAGCGATTTATATTTCTGAATTTAAATTTGTACGTCAATATTAGCACTGTTTTTCGTTATATAATAATTATTACAATGATATTATCAATATATTATGATATGAGGTGATTGTCATTATAAACAAAAATTTTACTGACACACTAATGAATAGTTTAAAGCCCAATATCTATATTCAAAATACGGATCGTAATGGTTCGATTCCAGTGCATCGATTGAGTATTATTTAATTGAAAATGGTATAGACTTACCATGCGGAGCACAGCCCCACTCCTTACAGCAGTCTTCGTCGGACACATTAACCGGTGCCGGCCGGTGCATTGGAGGGCATCTCAGGGTCTGAGGGGGCAAGGGCGGAAGAGGGTTGCAGGCTTCTTGACAATCCAACTCGCCATTCTCACAGAAGCAGCGCTGTTCGCAACCCGACAAATGAAGGGGAACCTCGCTCCAGTTTGGTATTCTTAAAATTAAAATTGAAATCAGTTCGGTGTTCAACGGCACTCATGTTTAAGGCGTGGCTTGTGCAAATATTGTATATATTTGTAAGCCTCGTACCCTACATTCGGGGCAGATTAAGTACATATTTAAAATTCACTCAAATTAAATGATATTATTTCAAGAGTGAAAAGTTTTAAACGATAATTTATTTATTAAAGTACAGTACTTAGTCCTGTATGAAGATGATACCAGCCTTGCGATTCTGTAACTCACTTTTCGAACTCTCACAGCGGTTTTCGCAGCGGCGGTCGCGCTCAAATCAGTCGTCAGAAGCATAGTTACAGAATCGCAAGGCAGGATATTTTTCGCAAGTGCCACGTCCATAATAATCAAATTGATTAATTTCATTCCACAATTTTAATGTTCATGAAGTATTATGTAGATAAATTGACGATTGCAGGCATTACATTATATATTCATTGATTTTTAACAATGACCTGATGACAACGGATTATCAGTTGGATACATAAGCTAACGTTTAACAAACAGGACTTACGCAACGCCTTTGTAATGACAGGTACCGTCGCTCAGACAACGGGCAGTCCGTGGGCAGCAATTGGGCGGCTGTGGGGGCGGACTCGGCGCCCATCGGACGCAACCTTTGGACACTAATTCCAGCCCAACATGGTTAGGACAGACCAAAGGTGCACACTCCTTTGTATCGGGCCCCGTACATTCACATAACTCAGTGCATCCTATGTGGATTTCTTCCCCTGAAAATTTATTAGTAATCTTAACAATCAAATATACAGTATTTACAATTTTCTTAATTAAAGAAAAAAAAAATATTAAAACAAACTTAAAAGGTTTGGTCCCTGTGGCGGTACCTTCAAAAAATTAATGAAATAAAAAAGATATAATAAAATGAATTTCCCCTGAAAATGTTTTTGGGAAACATGTCTTATGAATCGCCCTAAATGAATATTTTAAAAAGATTTAATTTTAAAGATTTTTTTTGATAAATGAATATTAATATTAATATTTAGCCTTGACCTATAGACATCGGAGCGAAATAAAAACAAATTTCAGTGAATACTCAAGTCAGTGAAAAATATTTAATTTCAACTATGCAATATAAACTCAAGGCCATTTAGACTATTGTGGTACTACAAGGGTGGAGATTATCTAATATAACGTTTACTTAAATGTTTTAGTAAAAATTTGGAATAAAAAATATGATTAGCACCTCTGTGTTAAAATAACTAAATTATGACGCAGTAACATTTTGTTGCTTTAATCATTATATACAGTCAAAATCTGCCCTGCGATTCTGTAACTCACTCATTCTAATAAACAATAAACTACAAGCTCCCACCTTTTCAGAATGCAAAATCATAAAATAACTGCTTCACGACTGATTTGAGAGCGACCGCCGATGCGAAAACCGCTGTGTGAGTTCGAAAAGTGAATCGCAGGGCTGTTATAGCGGCATCGAAGGGACTACTCATATTTGGTCGTAAAATATAGATAGTCGTAACAGCCGATGGCGTTGTTTTTAAGTACCAAATGCAATAGAATTCTGCCGGGATCTTTGATTTTGATCAATATAACCGGTATGTTCTAAACGATGTCGTCGTAAACGGTTTTGACTCTACCTACATATTACACAGATCCTTAAAGAATATTGAAAATATCTCACCGACTGCATAAAACTGCCCATCGTGATAACACCCCTCTTTTGTATTATCTGATCTTTCTTCAAGTACTTCATTGTCATCAGATGCTGTTATCGTGAAATTGAACTTTGTCCCAGTTTCCTTAGTTTTAAGAATATAATCTCGTCCACCTTCTAGGTTTAAAATTAGGTTTTTATATCTCAATTCAACGTCAGTGTATGTTTGGCCACCATCGCTGCTAAGTTCTAGATGTATAGGATCCATTGAGTCGTTTGGATGGATTAGATTGACTTGGACACTATTGTTTTGGAGGACCTTTATAGATCCAATTGGTTCGAGAAGAACTAGGGGTCTTGTCGCTTTTGCTTCCATTGCATCGTGTACAGGTTTCTAAACAACATTAAATAGATTATAATAGATTTCTTATCTCCGCTTATCACAGAAATGTAAAGAGTATGATTCCCTTCAAAACGACTAATTAAAATGATTATTTTCTTTTCAGTAAAAATTATACCTAATGTTTTTTGTTTTACAAAATGTTAGTAAGGAGCTGCAACCATTACACCATGTCCCATGTGACATTTTAAGTAATTAATAATAATAAAATAAATTAAAAACAAAGATTTGTCCTCTATCAGCAGGAGGCATGGTGTAATAGGAGCACGCACTTACATTCTCGTGGGAATAACACGCAAATACATAGTCAAAATGACTAACATCACCGCATACACGAATTCAAGTACGACCAGTCACCACAAGTAGCACCCGTTCACGAGTATGACATGGAAATTAAGGATATGGAAAAGTCTTTCTGATTATAGGTGTCGCGATATTAAGGCATTATAAATGTTTGCTAAATATTAATTTTACTTAGACATAGACATAACATTTATTACATACGAAAACACACACACATAAACACACAAAATAACAATACACAAAGAAAAAATTAAATAAGACATAAAAATTAAAAATTCCCTTTTGCCATTCGGTTCGCTTCAAGTGTGCAATGTGTGTGTACTGTGGTTGTAATTGGCCCTGGCTCAGCATTATGATGCTACTTACAGCAGTAGTGGATGAAACAGTGCCATTGTCAATTGGCTCCTCGTGCACGTCTTGGGAAACATCGCATACTTGTATTTCACAACACGCGTCCTTCGGGTCTTGCACATTGATGCACCTATCCGATTGTGGCATGCGGTTACATCTGTGAATATTGTGAAATGTAAGTAGAAAATTCATTCATTAAATTAGCTAGATTCAATTGTATTTTAGTGTAATACCAAAACATTTTTATTTTATTTATTTATTCACAAGACACTATCCTTACCGAACTAAATCAATACGATAATGTGGAAAAAACAATATATTTCGTAATCCTACAGCTATCATAAATTAATCAGTCAAAACCGTTTATAACGACATCGTTTACAACGACCTATCGGTTATTACAACCAGATTGTTTGGTCCCGTCCGCATCCCTAGTAAACTATTCAGTAAACAAACCGCTTATAACAACATCGGATACAGCGACATATCGCTTACAACGACGAAATTTTATCGATATTCATCGGCTATAACGACCAACCGCTTCTTGTCTCAGCAAAACAAAACAATACAAACGAATTTAAATCTTATTTATAAGCATTGTATGAATATTTAGGCATATTATTACCTACGCACTTTCTCCCGCCTCATCCGAACCTCTTCCCGGCCATTTGACCTTGCATACTTTACACATGTTTAGTTCGCTAATTGACTGCGTGAATAACAGTTTGATTTAAAAGTGTTGGGTTGTTTAGACTGTGCAATTGTGCATTTATGTGTTATCATGTCGCAAAAAAAGAGAAAAGTGTTTTCTATTGAATAAAAATCTCATGTCATAATTCATATAGATAAAATGCAAAAAATATTTAAGACTGGGGTTAAAAAAAAAAACAGACCAAAATGACTGATTACTTTTGTACCTAATTATTTCGCAATAAATATTTTTGTTTCTTTTTTGACTCCTTTACATATTAGAATATAAACATAACATATTATAACCCATACCTAGCTATTCTAGATAGATAACTATGATAATATAACTATGTACATACATATGTACCTACTATACTTGTGTATATATATGACATTGCTTATAACGACTATCGGATATAACGTCGGCAACTATGCGGTCCCTTCAATGTCGTTATAAACGGTTTTGACTGTATAACAAAATGTAATAACTAAAATATATTATTAATAGGAGTCCCTGTAAGATATATAATTATAAGTAAGATACTGGCAGCGTTCCCCCTTTGAATTGCTAGACTAATTCTTTGTCCGTGGTAGCTGCCAGCTCTTCGGTCTCTGTGATATCGACTAACCTTTTTGCAATTTCTAAGGGTCTCGACACCGAATGGGACAAAATCATATTCATATAAAATTCTCGTGTCACAATGTTAGTTACCATACTCCTCCGAAACGGCTTGACCGATTTTAATCAAATTTTATATAGTAGGTCTGAGAATCGGCTACTATCTATCTTTCAACCCCTTAAGTGAACGCAACATTGTTGGAAATCGCATTAGGAGTTTCACTTCAAAATATAAGAACAAAAATAGCGCGTGGAGTCCGCGCGTAAGAAGTGAAACTTCGAAATGTGGAACTGGAAATAGGAAGCATTCACTCTCACTCTGTCTCTTTCTATGCCCGCTCCCCAGGGAGCGTTCAAGTACGTCACGCAATTTTTGCAGATTATTGAAACCCCCCTGTAACGCGCCGTAACTTTTTTCTGTACCCAAGTATAGTAAAACGTTTGGTGACCACCTAGTGACTCTTTATACCTAAAAGTTACCATTATGTGGTGTAAAGCACTGGACAGTCGAAAATATTATTAACAATAAGGCGTAATTCAATGCCCGCCCCGCATCGTAACGTTTTACAAAAGGAAAATTGATCAACTCACTACAGAACATGTCAAGCTCTTCATAAATAGAGTTCATTCTACAATACGTGTATATTAAAAGATAAAGGCGTAAATGGTAGCGGTTTTAAATATGTATGTATTTACATATATACACATAAACTCTACTCTGTTTGTAAGGGACCGTTCAAGTATTACGTCACGCAATTTGTTGAAGATTATTGACCCCCCCTCCGTAACGCGCCGTAACGTTTTTCTGTAATAGTAAAATTTGGTTTCGTGATCACCCAGTGACTCTTTATACCTAAAAGATACCATTATGTGGTGCAAAGTACTGGAAAGTCGAAAATAATATAAACAATAACGCGTAATTCAATCCCCGCCCCGCATCGTAACGTTTTACAAAGGAACCCTCCCCCCTAAAATTCGTAATACATGAACGATCCCTAAGTTATGACTTACCTGGGTTTACAGGTCACGACAGAATTTTTTTCGCAAGTGCAAATCTGTTCGCACCCAATATCCCACTTCGCACCAACGTGGTAAGACTCGTTGGCGTACCGACAGACTTCCGTAGTCGTTGGTTTTATTTCTGAAAATTATGAATATTAATTAGTTGGAATCGTTCTCCAAATTAATTTAGTTTATACGTAATGTGATAAGAAATGTTAGCATAGATAGTATTCCTATACTTATACCCAGAGTTAGGATCTATAATAATTTATTTGCAAGAATATGGTACAAAAATGTTATGGTGGTACAATCTAAAGTTTGCATATTTCGCATAGTTCTTCAATTTTACATTGAGGAAGTTATGAGTAATATCATTATAGTAAATTTTTAAGCTTTTGCATAGCTTCTATCGCAGGCCTCGAGCGTGGAGAACGAATCCAGAAATTCCGTAACGAAAAAAACCTTGCGCGTTAGAGCGGGACAGAACGCATACTGCGTATTCACATCTCTCTGACGAGATCGGTGCAGCCGGCGCGCGTTAGAGTGAGAGAGACTATATAGGCGAGTTAGTCAGAGTCTGGTAGAGTGGTAGATTGAATTAATTTATCAAAGAAAAAACTTGAATGAGTATCAAAGAAAAAAAAAATACTGCATAAATAAATAATTATAATTGCATAAGTTGAAAAAAAAAATTATGCAATAGCTTTACCGCGGCAGTCCCCGAGTGCCACACGTTTTTTTTTTTTAAATATTAATTGTAGTGATAAAATATCACATTATTAAAATATATTATTACGTTATCAAATTATTATTAATTATACGTAATGTTTTACGCAAATAATAATTAAAGTAATATTTTTTCCCAAAAGTAGTTCATTAAGTACATTAGCATGAGGGTCATGACCTCCCTGGGTCACTTTAGATGTGCTCTTGAAGATATAAGTTTTTAAATATACAGTTTGTTTTTAACAAAACTAATCAATTTGCTAATGTCAATTATTAAAATGGTTGACATATGATATATAAGGCTATGCTAATTATACGAATCGTATAAGACTATCGTTCAAATTTAAAAATGTGTTTTTGATAAAAACATAATTTATCTCCTTTTTTTAATATCTATACTAATATTATAAATACGAAATATTTTTATGTTTGTAACGAAAGTACTGGACCGATTTTAAAAATTCTTTCACCATTTGAATGCTACATTATCACTGATTATATAGACTACTAGCTGACCTGGCAAACGTCGTTTTGCCATGTCATGTATAATAAAAAATAGGGGTTGATCGTAGAGGGGTGAAAATTAGGGGTTGTATGTATTTTTTAATGCTGTATCATAAAAAAATAAAAAAAATTATCTAAAAATTAAAAAATAAAAATTTAGGGGGATGAAAAATAGATGTTGTCCGATTCTCAGACATACCCAATATGCACACAAAATTTCATGAGAATCGGTCCAGCGGTTTCGGAGGAGTTTAACTACAAACACCACGAGAATTTTATATATTAGATTTTAATTGCAAGAAAAAATAAGGATACCCTACTAAAACTACAATAATGTTACCCAATGTGTAAAAAAATGCATATAAAATATATTTCAACGCACGCGCTGCGAATACTATTGATGTTAGAACAAAAAAATATTCCACAATTTTAAAGAACACATCAATATCTACAAAAAATGTTTAAAATATATTCCACCCTTGCGAAGCCGGGACGGGCCGCTAGTTAAAAATAAAATAAACTACTTGCTCTTGAAAGCAGAGACTAGATTATACTTGTTTGTTTTTTATGCCTGGCAAAACACACCGTAAAGCCATTATTATTTTTGTATTTACTCCACAACAAAAAGAACATCAAACGTGCCATTATGATAAACTCACCGCCATTCGCGCACGCCACTATAGAACAGCATTCGTCAACCGGCGATTCAAAACACAGGGGATCATTGAGACGTCGTCCTCGTCGTATGTATGGATGTTTGCATCTCGGCGAACATTCAAATAAACCTCCCGGGGCACATTCACATGATTCGTCGCAGCCTCTATCCATTTTCTCTCCGAGCTTAAAAAAACAAGGCGTTACTACCGTTAGTAATAATGTGTTTTATCAAAGTGTCCAAATCTTGACACATCTATGGCTGATGAAATGGAGTCTGCAAAGCCTTTACTCGTGACCAGGTTTTTTTTCTTCTTTTTAGTTAGCTTTCGCTATTACTGATTCTAATTGCACTTGATTATAACTAATTTTTTTCGCAAATGAAATATAATACTTCGTCTGGCCATAGATACTGTTACAATTAAAAATAAACAAAATATTACATTTGAATTTGAAATCTGTCATTTTTATATGATTGTTCATTGAGTTTTCTCATTTTGGCGCCAATACATTGTACAATATTTTGCGATATTAAAATGGAGTGGGATGATAAAGAGAACCGAATCGCTGTGATTGCATTACACAAAGTAGGTATGGAGCCAAATGAAATTTTTAAAACTCTCCATATGCTCGGTATTAGTAAAATGTTTGACTTAATTATTAGATATTAGACTTCTGTTTGGCAGTGAAGAATTTTCCCATAGAAAGAGTGCGTTCTTCACTTGATAACTGGCCTTAACGTTTAAAAGACTGTATTGCAGCTAATGAAGACGACATCGAATAAGATTTTATATTTATAAATCGTTTAATATTTATGTATTAAACTTACACTGTTAAAGTAATAAACGTTATATGCAACAGACTTTTTTTTCTATGTTTCAGTATTTATGGCTAGACTAGGTATATACCTAATTAAATAGCTATATAATGTTCAATTTAGCTTAATAATAATGAAGATAAACATAACGACGGATGGTGTTTGTAGACAGCGATTGATACTATTCAGCTATCGTGTTTGCCTGTTTATAAACTGAATATTTAGGATGTTTAGAATACTCAGCAACATAGTTATGCAGTTAAAATAGCATACAAACCTTGTATGTTATTTCATTCTCCTTGCACGTTTCCTCTTCAGATTTGTCTATTGTCATTAAGGGATTGAATGGTGCTTGAAGATTTGAATAGAATTTATCTGATATATGTTTTTGTTTATGGTCAGAAAGTTTCGGTAGTTCATCTTCTTCGTCCATATTAACATCACTGAGGTCAACGTTCTTTGGTTCTTTCTGGTTAGTTTGATTGTGGAGTGCATTTGCGAAATTTTGTAATTCATCTACGCTCAAATTTAGAAGTCTAGGTTTCGGTTTGATCATTGATTCTACTGCAGTAGTCTCTGTGGTGACGGTCGTTTCTGGTTTAACTTTTTCCGTTGTTGTTGATCGGGTTGGTGGTACAGTGCTAGTAGTTGTTGTTGTTGTGGAAGGAAATACATCTATCGTTACTTGTGTTCCCGCCTGTCCTTCGTCATCTTCGCTCATTAATTTACCTGTAATTATAACACTTTTATTTACAAAAACGCTTGCTTTGACTGTTCATTCAAATAGTTAAGGGAAACTTCTTTCTCTTTAATAGAAATCTTTGCGTCTAGATGAGTTGGGGCTCAACTTGTATATATACATTATTTATCAAAACTAAAACATTACGTGTCGTGACAAAAGTCGTGTTCGTATTACAATGAAAACGAGGTTGCAATAGTTAAGATTAGAACTTTTCTTTTTATTGACTCTCGGTTGTGTCTTATGAAATAGATAACAATAGAACATGAACAATAAAAACTTTTTCTTTTATTAGGTTTCACGAATGACTTTTCATGACAACAATTAGATAAGTATAGCTCAAACAAATCGCTATGCAAACAGCTATTTGTATTACCCGGATTAAGAAAAATTTAATTTTGTCAAGAGTGATATATATACATACACTAGCAGCTTAATAAGCTGAAGCGCGCGTATTTTTGGATTTGGAGAAATTATCCAACCTTTAAAAACGAGTAGCAGTGTCAGTGTGCCATTTATAAACAAAATAAATAAAAATGTGTTAATTAATTGAACAACAATTTATTATAATGTGTAAGATTTGGGAGCCCTTTTAAGTAAGAAAATACCTGTGTCAAGGTTCCCAGCTCTTCCTTCAATAACAAACTTCATAGTAAATTCCATAAAATAAATATACATATTAATTACATCTTTTTTTTATTATTTTAGTTCTTAGTATTGTCTTTGATTAACATAACTTTTATTCATTTAATAAAACACTATTTTGACCGGATTGAAGTTATGTATTATTATAAATTTACAACTATTTAACATAATTTTTATTGGTCACCGTGACCACGCACGCTGTAAAGCACGCGAAACGTCGGATAAATTTAAAATTATGTTAAATAGTTGTAAATTTATAATAATACATAACTTCAATCCGGTCAAAATAGTGTTTTATTATTTTAGTTCTTTCAACTGTTTCCAACACGCCTGAGTGCATGCATTTCTGGAATCCCATTTCGGTCAGTCACTACTCGGTTTTGAAGCAAGTTCTTTAGGGATTTTGTATTACATTAAGTGATCTTCAGTTTTAAAGAAAAACCCCTCAAATGTGTGTTCTTACTTAAAATAACGAGCTTCTCAGCTGGAACATTATAGTGGCCAGTAAAGATTTTATAGGTATCAATGAGAATACCTCTTAATCGCCTATTTCTTAAATCAGGCAGATTAAGTGGTGTCTATTTCTTTTTGGACTATTTAATTTAAGATTATATGAAATTAGTGTGTTCTAGTTTAAAAGTTGGTCGATTGCTACGGATCCGTTACATTAAATTAATATCACCGTTATGATTGAATCTTTAAAAATTGAAACAATAAACGATTTGTTATCAAATCAATTTTGTTTTTATTATCTGTGCTTGAGTGAAATTGAATAAAAATTGTTATGTCTCGACTGAACACATTTTAAAGAGAAGGCACCAATAAATTATAAAAGTTTAAAGATACGAAGCGTTAAAAATTAGTTAAAATTGATTTTATTTAACCGGTGTTCTTAATCTAGTTAATTATTTTTAACTAATTTTTTTTGCTACAGTTACTACAGTTGATTGCTAGCAGATCAGCGAGCACTACCAAAAAAAATATTTTTGACCATAGATTTCTGATTTTATATTTTTAATAAAAAAAAAACGACAAACGAACCTACCAGACGCCCAAAAAGGGTAGTCATCGCATCCCATGGACACCAATTTTATTGGGTGCGTTGCAGGCCTTTGAGAGAGGAGTACACTCTAACTTTGTAACTAATATACCTGATAAATATGATATGATTGGACAATTCACACCAATTGACCTAGTCCCATGCAAAGCTGGTGAAGCTTGTGTTATGGGTACTAGGCAACGGATATACATACATATTATAGATAAATAGACATATAAATACATATTTAAACACCCAAGACCTAAGCACAACACCAAATGCTAATCACATCGATGTTTGTCTCAGCCGGGGATCGAACCCGGGACCCATGGATTCGCAGTCAGGGGTACTAACCACTAGACCAATGAGCCGTCAAACGTCAAACCTGATGTATTAGGGGGCCTCATAGCCTAGCGGTCTTATTAAGTGGCAGCTAGGTGAGGGGTGCCGGGTTCGATTCCCGGTTCGAGGGCAAGTTTTAATTTAATTTAAATTTGTTCTTGGCCTTTGGGAGAGTTGTGCGGTACCAGGCGAGTGCCTAACAAACCGTACATGGAGGATATGATCGAATTTCTAAGGCAAAAAGCACGAATGATAAAAATCTCATACTTGACGCTGGCTAATGCACAAACCGTGCCAGAGCCATTAAAAACAAAAAAAAAAACCTGATGTATTAATAACACAGTCATACGTCGTGATGTACATCATTACAGCTTATAATCACATTGGCCTTATTAATTCCTACAATGGCTATCATCACGACGATTTAATTTCATGTTTTGTATCATTATCAATTGATTTAATCATATTGAGATTTTCTATTCATACAAACAGATGCCACAGGGACAAAAATTTATTTTTTAATTTTATATTTATTATATCACACAAATATATAGTATAATAAATTTCTATTACACATAAAAAAAATAGATTACTTGAATTCAGGATAGATCTCTATCTATAGTAACATGATCGTTTACGATCCTTATTATAAACTATTCGACATATATAATCGAGTATTTATAGTTTGGTATAATATTTGAATTGTATGAACCCATCGATTTTACATACATTTGGTTTTGATTACTACATAATATTCGTACTTCCTTTTAATTTCAAATAACATATAAAGCTGCACAGGTCTTCTATATAAATGAATACAACATTATCCGAGTTTTTCATAGTTTATACGAAGGATGGAAGGATGAAGGTGTTAGAAAAACATAAATTATCATACTCAGATGTACTAAAAAATATTAGTCGTTTTAGTATTTAAATCACTATTATGCTTAGTGAAACTAAGTGGAACAAGAAACAATTAATATTTCGCTTCCTCATATTTATAATTGAGGATCTGTATTATATAATTAGCTTGTTACGGATGGCTCAAGCAATTAAAATACATGTTACATGAAAATGCTAATTCATAAACACCGTCTCATTGGTATTCAAGTGGCGAGTCAATAAAAATGACGTAAGTAATAATCCTTGGCACACACCCCCAGATCCTATTGATTTGGTAAAAACTTATTTCGAAACAGTGAAAACGGTGACGAATGAATGAATGAGCAACACATGTTGCGTAAAGTAAGTTTGGCATTCTTTAAATTTTTCGAGAATGCCTTCAGAAAATGTTGCTAACATTATCCAAATCTTTTTAAGTAGAAAAAAATAATAATTTAAATTTTCCCCTTAACGCTTTGGTATGTATATCAGAGAAGTGTTGGCCTAGCGGCTTCAGCGTGCGACTCTCATGCCTGAGGTCGTAGGTTCGACCCCGGCTATGCACCAATGGACTTTCTTTCTATGTGCGCATTTAAAATTTCGAACGGTGAAGGAAAACATCGTGAGGAAACCGACGTTTTAGACCGAAAAAGTCGACGGCGTGTGTCAGGCACTTGAGGCTGATCAACTACTTGCCTATTAGATTTAAAAATGATCATGAACAAATACAGAAATCTGAGGCCAAGATTAAGAGGTTGTAGCGCCACTGATTTAGTTTTTTTTTTATGTTTCTTTTACACATGACCGGCCATTTATTAAGTGTTAATGCCCATATCTTTCTTAACATAACATTAATGAAACAAAATCTTGGCTAAGCTTGATTTTGTCTTTTGTGTAATAAGTTCTTGTGTCTAATTGTAATTTTTGGTAAGCAGTAAGTAAGTAAGTTTCCCACTTAAACTGAAAAAAAAATGTGGATTCGTGCTTGCTGCCTTGCCTTACATTCCATATACGTCTATATGCACAAACTTGGATTTTTCAAAACCAAAATACGCACGAGCTATCGTGTGATATCTATCATTGGAATTAAACTAAGTGGCAAATACAGATGGCAGGTGGTCAAAAATGGTAACCCAAAAGGTCAAAGAAACAAGGGAAGACCAAAAGAACGTTGGACCGACGAGGGTGAAATGATAGCTGCAATTGGATGATGACAGCAAAACATAAAATAGGGTGGAAACCGTGTGTGAACGCGTTAGAAGTTATACTTCTTTGGCGTAACAAGATAAAAATCTTTTCAAAAATGTTATTCTACGTTTGTAGACAAATCGACACTAACAATAGAAAAAAGGTATTATATTTAATACATAGAAAGTTTTATTATAACGTTACATATAGGAATACATTATCTAGTTAAATATCACAAAAAAAAATATTTTGGTATAATGTGTAAATAAGTTGTGGTTATTATACACAGATAGACCTAACACATATAAATACATATTTAAACACCCAAGACCTAAGCACAACACCAAATGCTCATCACATCGATGTTTGTCTCAGCCGGGGATCGAACCCGGGACCCATACTAACCACTAGACCAATGAGCCGTCAAAAATATAGGCTTATTATTATTATATAATTGTTAATTTAAATAAAATTTAATTTCCCAACTTTTAACAGTTTTGACTAAACAAATGAAACCTTTCATTAAAACGGGCAATTATTATTGAGTCGTTGAACTTGAAATTGTTTAGCGGAAAACCTAATTTTCCACTTCAATAAGGATAGGAAGCCATATTGCACTTACAAAGCTTTAAAAACCTTCAATCAATTTCTAATAACGTTTCATTTAAAGGTATTATTTAAATATAAATTTTCCTTTTGGAAGCCAGGAGATTTTAGGTCGCAGGGCCAGAAGAGTATGTGTTTATGCTTTTGTCCCGGCTAACATAAACTCCACTAAAATCTTCTGTCTAAGCCTCAAAAAGACACAGATCTTGGTTTGTTCCTTGATGTTTTAATGATAATAAGTTTGTGGTCACAATTTCTCCGTCCACCGAAGTTCGACATT